GAACTAGTCATGCAAATAAAAATATCCTGTAGTTTAAAGACATTTAAAGACCCAAACAATCACAAGCAAGGAGCCGATGTCTTGGTTTTAGAGCGTGAAGCACTTAGTCGCTGTGAAAACGGTGAAAAATAAACATTTTCCCGACATCCCCCCCCCCTCAGCAACGAGGTCCTCACTTCCTGTTTGTGTGTGGAATATGGGACACGCAGGGTTGTGCTGTTCAAACCAAAAGGGCAGCAGATTCCCAGCCAGCGGAGGCCGGCGGGAGTCTGCTGCTTCTCAGGGAAAAGGGACGAGAAACCAGATGATGATGCAAACGAGAAGCAAAAGAGAGGGTAATTAAATGGGGGGGTGCTGGTGTCAGGCCGACGAAACACTTACGGTTTAACATCACGATTCGAGTAACACCCAAGTTAACCCTTCCTTGGTTTGCACCTTTAATATCAACGTGGAGGCAGGGTGTAGTTAGCCTAGCTTAGCATAAAGCAGAAGGAGCTTTGCTAGAAAAGGTGCCTCCCGATACCTTAGTAGGTCATTAGCGTTGTGTTTTTATGATTGATGAAGATCCATGAAAGTAAATAAAAACGTCATTTGTGGTTTTTAGGGTTTTTTTGTACTTGAGATTAACGCATTTTGTTCAGTTTGTTCAGCCACAGAAGAACTTCCAGGTTTACGTCTCCATTGAAGCGCTCCAGAGATGGTGTTTTTTTGTTGTTGTCCACCACAAAAATAAAACAAACGGGTGTGGTTGTATCGGCGGGTATACACACGACGGTGCTTTAATGCTACAAGCTAGCTTGTTAGCTAGCAGATAGCTGACTACACAGAAACCCTGAATAGTGCGCCGTGCTGTAATGCTACAAGCTAGCTTGTTAGCTAGCAGATAGCTGACTACACAGAAAACCTGAATAGTGCGCCGTGCTGTAATGCTACAAGCTAGCTTGTTAGCTAGCAGATAGCTGACTACACAGAAAACCTGAATAGTGCGCCGTGCTGTAATGCTACAAGCCAGCTATCTGCTAGCTTAGCTAGCAGATAGCTGACTACACAGCAGACCTGAATAGTGCGCCGTGCTGTAATGCTACAAGCTGGCTTGTTAGCTAGCAGATAGCTGACTACACAGCAGACCTGAATAGTGCGCCGTGCTGTAATGCTACAAGCTGGCTTGTTAGCTAGCAGATAGCTGACTACACAGCAGACCTGAATAGTGCGCCGTGCTGTAATGCTACAAGCTAGCTTGTTAGCTAGCAGATAGCTGACTACACAGCAGACCTGAATAGTGCGCCGTGCTGTAATGCTACAAGCTAGCTTGTTGGCTAGCAGATAGCTGACTACACAGCAGACCTGAATAGTGCGCCGTGCTGGAATGCTACACCGGCTACAGGTATTGAGATAAACAGCATGGAGGACTAGCTAGCTCGCCCGCTAGCTTCCTCCGATCTCCACCCGCGGGGAGGATCGGGTGCAGCGGCGCGAGGACATTCTACCGCCGCGTTCAGGGATTTCAAAGACAGGAAGGCCTCTCGATAACGATCAGACCCGGCGGGGCCCACGACGCCCCAAACAGACCCGAACAACCTCCTCCCGTGTTTGTGCACTCTGAGCTCAGCGGCCACGTTCTGGCTTTGTGGCGTCTCTGGAATACACATACAAATAAAAAAGAAGAGAAAAGAGCACTGAAATCCACCGACTGCCTGAAGGAAAATGCAGACGTGAAGGTGGAAGCAGTCATACGTGATGTTTTCAGGCCGCTGTGACGAGCCACCGCCATGCCGTCTATCAGCAGGGGGCCGTTTCTGAGGCGTGAGGGAGGAGCTGTGGGCCGGGAGGACGCCGACGCTTGATTCACGGAGGACAGGAGCGGGCGTGACTTGAGTTAACACGTTATTCTCCTAAAATGAAACGTGACACCATGTTTCAAACGACAGAAAAGGAGAAATCACAGAAAAGCACATGACAGCGTCTCTAAACCCTTTCTAAAATGAAGCCTCCAGCCTCTTCCTCCTCCTCCTCCTCCTCGTCCTCCTCCGTGTCGGTGGTCATGACCTCACAGAGCATCAATCACCGGACTCCAAACACCTCGCTCTCCTCTCTGCTGGCTCTCATCTAGCGGACGATAACAAGGCGGCTAATGGCGGCAGGAACGAGTCCCCCACTCGGAGACACTAAATCAGTCTGTTCCACGCAAACGCCGGCTCCCGTTGCCCCCTCGCTCGCCGGGGGTCCGGAGGGGAACCTGTGAATCGTTCGCTGAGGAAGCGTCGCTCCTCGTCGTATTTCCGCCGCTCGTCTGTTTAGGCTCACGAGCCTGAATGTTCCTTCCTGCAGCCCATCATTGGGTTGCTGGACCTTTGGCGATAGAACTTTATTCATGTTAGAAGCTAATCCAATAGTGAAACGGTATAAAAGATCATCTGTGGATTTACACTTATATTGAACATTTGCTTTTTACTATTCATTTTTTTGGGGGGTTAGAAGAACAGAGTCATCAAAGATTCAATTGTTTTAGATTGTTGAGTAATCTGTTGGCGCTTCTTCTTCACGCGATAACGCAAACACGCGTTCACCGTTTCAGAAAGCCTTCTTTGTCACGCCCTGTTTGTTTTCCGAGGTTGAACGAAAAGTTGTACATTGAATATGTTTCACAAACAACGAGGCCAGCCGCATCTCGTCTGAAAGGCTTCTGTCTGCGCACGAGGCTCTGAATCGTCGCTCATTACGGGAGAAGCGCACCAGCCGTTAACTGCAAAAGGAAACTCAGGTTGCGATTTGGGTCCGGGAGGCATTCAGCAGAAGTAAAGGGCGCAGAAGCAGCGAGCAGAACTAATTTCATCAAATATTAAACTTGGTTTGGAGACTCAGATGAGCAGCGCAGGACTCCTGAGGGATTCCCCTGCGTGAGGAGGGCTGGAGCATCATGGGATATTTCTCACAGGAAGTGCACGTGGGTGTTTTGAAAAAAATGATTAATATAAAATAATTACCACAAGGACGTCTCACTTTCAAAGCTTTTGGCACCAAAATCAATAAATGTGTATATTTATCTGTGATGAATGTTTCTTCTTCTGTGATCACTTTTGATAATAGCGAGGACGGATAAAAGACTTTATTGTTTTTGTGTATAACTACATGCATCTCAAAGATTTCTCGGCATTAATGTGATCACTTGTACTCGAGATGTGCGACTGTGTGCATTTTATCTTTGGTTTTAGTTTTGTTTTTTTGTACCAACTCTCCGGCTAGTTTCCGTCAACAAATACACAACATTTTACTAAACAAAGATAAGTTAATAGTTAAATGTGTGAGCTTGTACGTCCTGTTTTACGTTCTCAATCTAGTGATGCGAGTGGCTTCCCTTAACGGGCTGAAACAAACCTTAATAAATCAATAAAATCCCCCAAATGTGTTTGAATAATTCTCTCAATGTCTTTGTCTTTGCTGCCTGCGGATCGGCGTCGGCTGTGAGACGAGCAAAAAGGTCACGAGGCGACTTCTCTTCCTCTGTATTTCAATATTTAGAAAAAAGGGTCAACATCCGGTAGTGACAGGATTTGTCGAGCTCTTGTCATTAATCTCATAAATCCAAATATTAAGAGAGGGAGCGACGCATGGTGTTATTCCAGTAACAGAAACACATCAACGCTCAAGATGAACGTGCATCCGTAGATACCTGCTTTAACACAAAGGTCACACAAAGTAAGCAGAGGAATGTATCTTAAACCTGCAACAACACACATTTAACCTTTTCTGTAAATGTCTGATTTATCATTATTTAATGTAAGAAGAAACGAAGTCATCCATTAAAAACTAAAGGCTAATGACGGAAATCATCAAAGCTCGGTTGAAAAGAGATGAATTAAGATGGAATAAAATATGACAAGCTCAGATTTGATAAGATCAAATAGAACGAGCTGAGCTAAGCTAAGCTAAGCTAACAAAAAAAATAAGAAAGAAACTCAAGTTAAGCTAAAATAAAATAAGATAAGTTAAGGTAAAAGTAAATAAGAGCAACCCAAACTAAACTATATGAACATTACTGAAAACAATCAAGAACCGTAAAAAAACGGAAAAATGCATTTAAACGCGTTTGGCCGTTAAATAATTGAGGGAGAATTGTGACATGAATAAAATTTTGACTTCTAAGTAAAATCGTAGGAGAGAAGCTGCCGAGGCCGTTGAGTTTTTCTCCATGGGGGGGTAAGAGGGGGGGAGGGGGGCAAATGGACACCATAAAACTTTGAAGCCTTCGAACCAAAGAGGACCGAAGCCACCGCATCAATCTTTATTTTTGGGAGACTTTTGTACTTCAGGTAGACGTTTTTAGGGGGGGGGGGGGGGCAGGTGCTGCGTGGAGGCCGGGAAGATGGGGGGGGGGGCTTGTAAATTACCCGCAGGCACCCAATCGGTGGGCCCCGTCCCGTCGCCCTCCATCGCCTCCGCTCAGCTCCTGCAGCTGAGTCGTACTTAGCGCCATTCATAATGCATGACCCCCCCCCCCCCCCTCCGCCCCCCCCCCCCAGGCCGGCTTGTCAGCGCCGGTTCCCTTTGACAACTCGGCCCAACTCCACTTTCTCCCCTAAGAGGGCGCCCCCGGTTGCATAATTCAGGAGCCGCCCGCTGTTTTCTGAGCTCGTCTTTTATCAAAAATGTAACAGGCGGAGTTTCTGCAGGACTGGGGGGTGTAAGACGTTCCAGTTGAGACAATGTCCCAAAACTTCTTGTCTGAAACTTTTCTGCATCATGCCCACATGAGTACACAACAACCCCCCCCCCCCCTCCCCAAACACCCTCACACACACTCACATGCTGCATATTTAAAAGCAGAAACGTTGGCATTCATTTAGGACGAGGGACGAGGGACGCTCGTGTTATTCTCCACGACGGACGTCAAATCCGACCGATGACGTGTCTGAACGTAGAAGGACGTGTCGCCCTGCGTCTATCAGGGGGATCAAAGTACGATATGTTTCTGAAATGTGCGTTTTTTGGTTGCAGTGGAGTTGATGGAGGCAAACAAAAGGCCCATTGACGGCGGCGTGGCCAGCTGCAGCCGGTGCAGGTCAAGGTCACCAAGGTCGCGGTGAGAAGAAAGATATCTCAGAGAAACGCCTGCTGCAGATATCGGACGTGGCTCCGTTGCTCACTTTGCATCAGCCGGTGCGTCTTTGCTTCATTCAGTGAACAGAAGGGAACATTTGGGGATTCAAAAAACAAACCCTATTATCAGCAGCGACCTGTCAATCAGCGTGTAGCCCCTCCCCGAAGCAACCCCATGCTAATTTCTCATTTCAATCAGCTTTTTATTGTTATTCATGTGGAATGAAAGAGATGAGATTGAAACACAAGTCAACTTGTTTTCTAGAAGCTTCTAATATTATTGTAAATATTCAGCAGTCCCCCCAAAAACATCTGGCCGCGCTGTACTGGCTTCACCATTAAGCCCGCTGCGATGCTCCAGCAGCGGCAACAACAACTTCATGCACGTCTCCATACAAGGTCCTGATGATTGCTTCCTTCCTTCTATGGAGAAGCTCTGCAGCCGCTCGGTCATCTCAGGGATTCCAAAGGTTGCTCGTGAAGTTACTGTCATGGGTGAGCGGATCGCTTAGTTCCACAGGAGCTCCGTGAGGGACAGACGGAGACGGGAGAAACGTCCAATCCAGGTTCTTTTTTTCTTTGTTTTTTTTTCTTGTGGTTGTTAATGAATCTACACTCGGCACTGCATTGCTTTTTATGATATCAACATTGTAGTTGTTATGGTTGCTGTACACTTGATTAACATGATCCAGAGGCGTGTTAGATGGTCTTATATCACATCGTTTATTGGGTCCAGTTCAGGAGCTTCGTAAGCTGTATAAAGCAACTGTATTTGTACAGCACATTCCAACAACAAGGCAAAGTGCTTCACATAAAACCATTAAAACATCCAAACATAAAGCAAGGAGATGCATAAACAGTTAAGAACATTGATACGTTGAAATATAAAAGAGAAACAGACATTAAAAGGATAAGAAAGACAAAAGACAAAACATGTATGTAGTGTGATTTAAGAATGTCTTTAAGAATTGCGACTTGCAGAAATGGTGAATTGAAGGCAGCAGCAAACAGAGAAGTCTCTCATTTGGATTTTAAGGAGCTGAGCGACTCCAGATATGAAACTGAAGGCTGCTTCTCCCTGTTTAGTTCTGACTCTGAACAGAAAGTAGAGCCGTCCCAGACGGCCGGAGGGTTCGTGGAGGTTCATTAGGAAATGTTATAAACTTTACTGGTTCTCTCCTTGAGCGCTTCAACTTGGTCGAACTTTGCTCTGTTGATGCTGCTCCATTGAATAGAAACAATCCTCATGGTTCTTCACTCATTTCTGGATCTTACGGGAAACGTTTTTAACTTGTACAGAAACATGTAATACAAATACATTCCTTTCATAATAAACGTTTCATACTTGGCAGGCGGCATCTTTCCATTTGTCTGAGTGGAGCTGATGAGAAACTTTCTTAAAGCTGCATTCTGTGTAGTGACCAGCAGGGGGCGACTCCTCTGCTCCCATAGACGTCTATGAGGAAATGACTCTACTTCTCTGTAGTGACCAGCAGGGGGCGACTCCTCTGCTCCCATAGACGTCTATGAGGAAATGACTCTACTTCTCTGTAGTGACCAGCAGGGGGCGACTCCTCTGCTCCCATAGACGTCTATGAGGAAATGACTCTACTTCTCTGTAGTGACCAGCAGGGGGCGACTCCTCTGCTCCCATAGACGTCTATGAGGAAATGACTCTACTTCTCTGTAGTGACCAGCAGGGGGCGACTCCTCTGCTCCCATAGACGTCTATGAGGAAATGACTCTACTTCTCTGTAGTGACCAGCAGGGGGCGACTCCTCTGCTCCCATAGACGTCTATGAGGAAATGACTCTACTTCTCTGTAGTGACCAGCAGGGGGCGACTCCTCTGCTCCCATAGACGTCTATGAGGAAATGACTCTACTTCTCTGTAGTGACCAACACGAGCAATTAACCACTATAATCAGATTAAAAGTTAAGGCCCTTTGCTCAGATAATTGCTAAAATATTGTTTTTGTAAAGATTTTTAAAAATCATCAAAAATAAAACTTGTAGTGCATAGTACTGATTTACAAAAAGGCAGAGGATCTTTTTTCTTCAAACAAATTAGTAGTTAAATATTAAACACAGAGAAGTTATAACACTAAGACGGATGAAGCAGAAAAGAACCCGACGACTATTAGATCTTCTCAGTCTTCAGCAAGATAAGATATAAACTTCACTACAACACAATTACTCATAAATAAACACACTAAGAAGCACGATGAGCGTACTGGCTGCGTAACGTCTCCTAAACAGTCACAACTCTCCCGTCAGTCACCCTCGGGATCCGAGCTTCATGTCCTGTTTAGCATACTGTGCTAACTGATCGTACTGGTATAGAGCCCCCCCCCACACACACACACTTTCTCTCTATGGCTTCCTCCTCCATCTCCCCGTCCTGCTCCTCCTCTAAAACAGCGCCTCGCTTCTTGTTTGGATAAGTTAATGCTGAGATGTCAGCCTGGGATCTGATGTACACCACCTGCCTTGGCCTCCGCCTGACCTCGGCCTCCAGCTCCCACCGCAGAGACATTCCAAAGCGCTTCTCTTTTTTCTGGCGGTCTGTGTTTACACTGCAACAGATTGCTTCTCTCTCTCTCTGTGTCTCTCTCTCTCTTTGCCTCAGCTTCATCACGCTGGACAGACGTGGGCCTGAACACGCCTCCACCCACACGCCTTCACCCACACGCCTCCACCCACACGCCTTCACCCACTCGACAGCCGTGTCGTGTGAATATGGGAACCTCGAAGGGCGCGTTTGAGATGACCCTCTTCGTCAGGCCTCCCCTCAAGAGGAGGGAGGGAGGCGAAAAAGCCAAAAGAGCCTCCAGCTGGACCCCGTGGGGAGCTCGTGTGAACGCTGTGACCTCACGGCGTCGGGCCCTACGGACCAATGAGCGCTGGCGATGTCACGGTTCGGAGTCAAATCGAGAGGGTTCTGCTTCGGGGTCAAGAGGTCATAGTTTAGTTTACTCTTTAAATCTGTTCCTGTAAGTGAGTATTCACGAAATGAGATTTTGATACGGACAACTATTATGTGTGTACAACTACTCTGTATGTGTACTAAAGGCAGTACATTTACCTCTAGGTGCCACTACTGTATGTATATGTGAACAAAGGGCAGTACATTCTGCGTATTTGGATCCACAGTAACTGAAAGTTACGGTTTGACGCCATCAAGTGGTCAATGTGAGATACGACACTTTGAAGAGAAACAGACTCAAGAGATTATTGATCAAATAATCAACATCGCTGTGATTTTTTTGTCTAGAAACATGACTTCAATTTAACGCTTATTCTTCCACTTTAACAGACATAAAAGACTAAACAAACAGCTTGTTATATGAAAGAAGAGTTCATTCAGATCACATTTATTTTTTATCTGTGCAAAATCCAATTCTAAAAAGTTGTTAACAGAAACGCTTCATTTTGGGACAAAGACGACACAAGCATCAGTTTCCAAACTTTTAATGTAAAAGACAAAACAACAGCGGAGGGAAGGACACGAGTCTCGCTCTGCTCATTTGTCCTTCTCCCTCTGCTCCTTCTCCTTCTTCTCCTTCTCGGATTTGGCCTCCTCGGCCTCGTGCTTCTTGATGAGTTCCTCGACCTCCTTCTGCTTCAGCACTTTGATTTTGGTTTTCCCGTCTTCTCGTGTCAGAGTGGCGATTTCCACTGAAACGAGTCAGAGAGAGAGCTTCAGCTACGTGCATCTATAACAAACTTATTATTATTATATACTATAATTACTTTAGTACATCTAGATGAGAGCCCCTTCTAACTCAACTGTATTCCTGCAGCAATGATCACAAACTGACTTAATACATTTCACTGCAGGCGTGAAATAAAAATGACCATGATGTGGATTTAACTCGCAAAACGTCAGTAAATAAAATGTATATAATATATAAACATGTATTTTAGTTTCATTGTCCTCCGCAGCTGGTGAAGCTCATCAGCGGCTGATGTTTAGGAGCTTTGGATCCCACCTTTCTCCGCTGACAGCTTGCTGACGTCCATCGTCTTGTTGAGGACTTTGACGGCCAACGCCAGCGCCGAGGACAGACTCATCTCGCCCTCTTTGAAGTCCTGCTTCAGCATGGACACGGCCGCCTGAGGCCCAAAGGACAACGCATCAAAGGACACAGTGAAGAGCACGCTAAGAAATAAGATTGTGTGTGCGTACACACACACACACACACACACACACATAAATGAATGCACCTCATTGAACACTGGGGCATTTGTCTTTATGACGCCATTTTACACAAAGTGTAACCAATTCATTCAACTACCAAAAGCTGCAACCTCTGAAAGTACAGGGTTTATTATTACTATTTTGTATTACTTCATTCCTCGAATCAGCACTTTATTTTGAAGGAGGTGCATTTAAGGTTTTTGCATTCTCTCCTTGGAGTGAGTTGGATTCTTTTACACGGTTAACAAACAGGACGAGGACCATTGGAATACTGGAGACAAACGCCCCGTTACCACACCCGTCTGATTCTGAGGCGTTCGAGCCCGTTGTTCCACTTATGTGAGATAAGTGTGTGATCGGTGCTTTTCGGCCAGGAAACATCACATTTCCATGAGAACATCTGTTGAATAAAAGGTTTAATGCAAATACAGCAAAACAATTTCAAGCTTACCGCGCTGTTGTTGCCGATGCAGGTGGCCTTCCAGCCCCCGTAGTTGCCACTTGGGTCACTCTGGTACAGCTGGAAGCCGTAGTGCTTGTCCCAGCCCATGTAGAGCAGAGAAACACCAAACGGCCTCTTCCCTGTCGAGACAAAGCACACGGTTAGAGGAAGTCAAATTCCAAAAAGGAGAATTATAGCAGCTTGTGACCACGTTTTGAGGGCAGACGTCTCAAAACAGGCACGTGGTGGATGTCTAGACCCCCAAAGGAGACGTAGAATTCACCGGGAGGAAAACAAGCGGCGCAACTTGCCTCCGAACTGCGTGTATGCTTGTTTGATGTCACACAACGCTGTCACCAACTGCTCGCAGGGTATTGGCTCCTGGTACTGCAGCAAGTACCTGAAGAAGAAGAAACGGGGGAAGAAGCACGTGCATTTAGTCAATTTTCCGAGCATTACCGCTCAATGGGCGTAGACACGTAATAAAGATGTTTCGTATTTGGTTTGAACTCTGCTCGTCACTCAAACGAAATCGCAGGGAGGCCGTACAATCACACAGCCGGCGGGTTCGGCTGTGCAACTCACCTCTGTGCAATCAGCCGCAGCTCATTGGTCAGCACATTAGCATCTGATGTGATCCCAGCGACGCTGCAAGCCAAATCACTGAAAGAAAACAAACACACACAAGATCAACGTCAACCTGAAGAAAAGGAGGGCGGAACGCTCTCCGTGATGAGATCGCGTCGAGCTTCGGGTGTAGAAGAGTTGATTCCGTATCTCAATTCACTCACTCGTTGAGCTTGTAGATCTTCTCTGAGAAGAAAACCTCGTCGAGCAGTTTGTGGATGTTGCGCCTCTCCGCCGCTAACAGCACCCCATCGTTGGCTAGAATCCCCAGACATGTGCCAGCGTGACCGATGGCCTCCATCGCATACTCCACCTGGTACAGGCGTCCTGCAGAAACACGGTCACAAATGTAGCATCGACGTGGCTGGAAACGCGGCCACCTTGCATTTCTAAAAACACACTAGGAAACAGTAGAAGCCAAGTAGCTGGACAGAATAGTTGTCATTTAAGGACCATTCACTCAGACTTTGCTTTCAGATGCAGGTCGCGTATGTGAAAGCTTTCTTAACTTTCCAAACAACGCCATGTTCAAAGAGGAACATGCATGATGTAATGCTCACTTCAAGATTAACTATTGAAAGAATTGGTGCAAAGAATTGGTGCAGGACTCACCTTCAGGAGAAAATATGGTTGTGCGGGAATCATATCTACGAGACTAAATAACAAAGACAGAATGGAGATTAGCTGACAGCGACAAGCCGCATCATGTAAAGTGATATCTGAGATACTTGCCATCTTCTCCCGTCACTTGAACTGTCCTGCGAAACAAAAGTAGGACAATTGATGGAGAAACCAGCGCCAAAGAAAACAATGAAAGGAATAATGTTTCTGACAAGGTCTCCTTCTCTACAATTTGACGAATATAAACGGCAAATAAAGTATTTGTCCACGTAACACATTGATTTACAATCCCCTTTCGCCTCTGTGCGTGACAGCTAAGCTAGCTGCTAGCTAACTGCTGAACAGAATGAATCTGCAATATCGGAGCATGCTAGTTCGTTAGCATGCTAGATAGCTAGCTAACTGCTAGTAAATACAGGCCCCTGGCTGGACACAATCAAAATATACCTCCGCTCTGATGTAGCGAACGAATACAACAATATTTTAGCGGATCATGAAATACTGATACAATTACCTTGCGTTGTTATTAAGCGAATTTCTCCACCCAACCGAAAGGTTTACTACTTTCAGTTTGATGTTGCTCACACGCACAGACTCCGGTATGACCCGCCCCCCCGCTGCCTCTGATTGGCTAATACTCGTTGCTTTCATTGGTTGTGGTCTGCGTTTCTGCGCGCGGGGCGGCGGAAGACATAACACCCCCTGACCTGTGAGTGGCAGCAAAGTGCTGCAAAGCATCCAGCTTGCCGGAAGAGGAAGAAAAAGCTCTGCTGTCATTGGTTGTTTCAGTAACGTGTCATTTGAATGACCACGGGAAGTACACTCACTAGCAAGAAGGTAGTGAGCTAACGACTACGTCGTTACATTATTAGTTACTGAATGACGATACTCAGAACTGTATATGTTTTAATTGGCTAATGGACATGGTTTTCAAAGTCTGACAAACATTTCCCACATGGCCTTGTAATAAACATCTTTACAAACAGGTAAGTGCTTGCTATCCTTCGATGCTAATGCTATATAACCTCAGGGCTAGCTCAGCGTTAGCTATCACGAGCTTCTCTCGCACGAGCACGTCCAGCAGCCACTCGGCACATTTTTACGGAAAACCCCCGGTGTCATCATTGTTTAGACCGACTTCGTTGGGGTTCATATGGAGTGTCGTAGGCTACACGTCGAGTCGAGGAACACGATGTCCTCTGTCCCCGGTGTTGCCACGGGGGGGGGTCAAGTACAAACCGGTGTCGCCCGGGCGTTTAGCGTTAGCCGCACGCAGACCAGAGAAGCGACACCGGTAACCACGCTGACACGGCTCGATGCTCGTCGTCCAAGCCGGTTGGATCGTTTCCATCGGCATCGTCAATCATTATTAGCGTTAGCGTGTTTTCTTAGCGTGACCGTTGAACTGTTACACAACGTTAACCCGAGATCAATAATATCGCTCAAGGAAACGACGACGTCGGGCCCTGCGCGGACTGCAGGGGCAACGTAATGCAGTGAGAGGACATTTGTAAATACCTCTCGATAGGAGTGACGTTATTATCGTTGTAGTATTCCGATGAGCGAAAACAATGTTGGATTTGTTGTATGATGTTTGCATTAAACTCAATGAATCCACCGCCAATATGCAAGCAGAAAAGTTGTCCGATCACCGTAAATGTCAGCATATACGTGCACTCAAATCCAAGTGTATTCGTTTAAAACAAGTGTACTGAGCGTGCTGCTGTTTGTGCAGGAATCAGTCTGATGAGGGGACACCTGCAGCTGTCAGGATGCAGCAGAAAAGGAACATCCAGATCATCGAGTGGGAGGACCTCGACAAGAGGAAGTTCTACTCTTTCGGGGTGTTCATGACGATGACCATTCGGGCCACCGTCTACCCGGCCACGCTGATCCGCACGCGGCTGCAGGTGCAGCGGGGAAAATCCCTCTACAGCGGCACTTTCGACGCCTTCTTCAAGATCCTGCGGGCGGAGGGCGTCCGAGGCCTTTATCGCGGCTTCATGGTCAACACCTTCACGCTCATCTCGGGCCAGGCTTACATAACCACCTACGAGCTGGTGAGGAAGTACGTCTCCCAGTATTCCGAGGACAACACGGTGAAGTCGCTGGTGGCCGGCGGCTCGGCCTCCCTGGTCGCCCAGAGCATCACCGTTCCAATCGATGTGGTCTCTCAGCAGCTGATGATGCAGGGCCAAGGGGAGCACCTCACGCGCTTCCGACTTAATTCCAACACGGAGCCGGGGAAGTCCAAAAAAGTGTTTGGCCAAACCAGGAACATTGTGGCTCAGATTTTTGCTGTGGATGGTTTCCGGGGCTTCTACAGGGGTTACGTGGCTTCTCTGCTCACTTACATCCCGAACAGCGCGGTCTGGTGGCCTTTCTATCATTTTTATGCAGGTAAATGGCTGAAACGCCTGAAGCACCAAAAACCTTAAAAACAGTATGAGGTTGTGTTTTTCTGTGCATTAAAACATCTGCAGTGAGAATGAATCCACCTCGTCCTTTTGGTTAATAAAGCATCTGTAATGTTCCCCAGAGCAACTGTCTAAGCTGGCGCCCAGTGACTGCCCTCATCTGCTGCTACAAGCTATTGCTGGACCTCTAGCAGCCGCCACGGCCTCCACCGTCACCAACCCGATGGACGTGGTCCGAGCCAGAGTGCAGGTACTTACTGTGCAGCCATCGGGCCCAGTTGGGCCTCAGACGTCGGTCAAATGTGGTTTCTGATGCAACGTCTGTGTTTTTCTCAATGACTGATGCTACGGATGTTAATAATTAGTCAGCATTCTTGTGAGTGTATAATAAGTTACTGTATCACTGTTTCACCATTCACGTGTCCACGGATGGACAGCGAGGCTAAGTCGTGCCTTTGGTTTTTACAATGAATAGATATTGGGCAGTGTTATTGTTATTGGAGCCGATTGATGTACAGAATATTCAACATGAACATATTTACATAACATGTCATTTAGCTGACGCTTTTATCCAAAGCGACTTACAATAAGTGCATTTCAACCATAAGGATACAAACGCAAAAGAACAAGAAACAAAGTGCAATTTCATCAAATAAGCAGATATACAACTGGCTATAGATAAGAGCCATTACAAGTACAATTTAAGTGCTACAATTTGTTAGTTGAGATAAAGTTCTATAGTCGTATAGAGGTGTGTCTCTAGTTTGTGGCAGAAGATGTGAAGGTTCTCTGCGGTGCTGATGTCATCGGAGAGCTCGTTCCACCATTTATTTAGCTTCAGTTGTCTGAAAGGTTTCATTATACTGTAATTCAATACAAAATAAGAGTTTCTAATCTCGGTCATTCTTTTGCATATTGAAGATTAGTTTAAGTTGGTGACTCGGCTAAAAGAAATAATAAAACGTTTCCCCCGCTGTGTGTGGTTTAGGTGGAGGGCAGGTCTTCAGTCATCGACACCTTCAGGCAGCTGATCAAGGAGGAGGGCTGCTGGGGTTTGACCAAAGGACTGTCTGCGCGCATCATCTCCTCGGGGCCCACGGCCATCGTCATGGTGGTCGGCTACGAGTCGCTGAAGAAGCTGAGTCTGCGACCGGAGCTGCTGGACTCGAGGCACTGGTAGAGCTGCGCGGGGAGAACACGCGGACCGCGTCTGACACCTTTATGTAAAAAAGACTGAAGGATGGGAGGATTCATTGTGGAGCGTGTTCGCTGTGCATGGAAGAGGAATTGATGCTAACTGTGTCACGGCGTTGATCAGGGGCTCAGAGGAAGGTCGAATAACTTGTTTTAATTTGCTTTCTCTTTTCCTTTGGCCTTTTTTCTTTTATTCTTAAGTCACTGCCTTTTAAGAGTGATCGAGACAATCTTTGTTTCTTTTGTTGGATGTGCGTTAGACTTTGTAGGAGGTGTTGTACTCACTATTTCCTGGTCCTCAGATTGGCCAATCACAGCTGAGCGCTGTCTGTCTGATGGTTCACTTCTCACCTCAGCTTCTATGGTTTATCTTCTTACTGCTGAATGGTGTCCTTCAAACACAGACTACTCTCTTTTTGTCCTTCCAAAGGTTAGATAACATGTATTCAGGTGTGGGTGTGTGTGTGGGGGGGGGGGGGGCTTCGCAAAAGGTCAATTTAACTGTTTCCGTGCGCAGACCCGATTGAAACAACGGACGTGGCAATTTCCACGCAGAACAGGATCCACGCACGGGTTTTACTACCTGCTTGTGTCTCTGGCGGAAAGTTGTGAGGAAGAAGAGCCGCCTGCAGGGTTTCCCTCTTGTGACCGTAAACGAGTGCAATACTGTAAGTGTTTAATCATTTTCAGCACCAAGTGTGAGTTGTGCGTTTCTTGTCAATTGTGTAAATACTGTGTTTTAAAGTAATAAGGATTTTACCTCGTTTGTTTTCGTCGTGTTTTGGGGGATCGTCGCTTCAGACTTTCACATCTTGTTATTAAGATTTTTACTTCAGTAGGAATCTGTTTGTGTTTCGTGGCTCTTTTGGCACCAGACGTGCATCACCGCTCAATAGGTTAGACTTCTACGACACAATCAGACCGGGTGGAATTCCTCCACTGGATCCTCCGCTGACCCCTGACCTCCGACCCCAGATCAGAGGCCAGTGCCAGTTTAATATACACTTAGTGAAATTTACTCCAAACCGAACATCCTCTTTCCTGAGAAAACCCGTGAGAGAGAGAGAATAATTACCAATGAGTTGTATACTTTCTTAATGCATAACACAGTTGGAGTGTTGAAATATTGTCAATTTATTGTTTTAAATGTTTTTACATCCCAGCAAAAGCGAATAAAACAAAAATGTAGCGATCTGTAACCAAAACCTAAAAGGTCATTGGTCTTCAGCACCTCTTAAACAGTGAGGAGAAAAAGGATCGTACAGTATATACGACGATATATATATATATTTGGAGAAAGGGGACTCTGCTGGACTCCAGACTCCTCTATGAAACCATCAACTCTGCTCCAGATCTTCTATTTCCACATGAGAGTGACAGACGGTTTGTACGTACGTTTGCATTTGAAGTCACAAATCCACATTTGATGGATCAGCATCAAGTTCAGAGCTACTGAGTCCTCCGCTGAGATCACATCAGGAATCAGGAAACATTTATTAGCCAAAATATGCCAAACATACAAGGAATTTGTCTTGGCGGTTAGTGCGCGACAGTAAACAGTGTAACAATAGACAACAAGACAGCAGTGCACAGGTAATAAAATGAAATGCTAATGCAATGGGTTAGTAGAATAAGGCTTATGGGTTAGTATAAAACAAGGGAATAAAGTTAAGAAAAATATTAAGCATAAAGTGCACTAACGAACAAGTAACAGACAAGAGACAAAGTGATGAATTGCAGTTAAAGTGGCATGTGCAGTATGAAGGGGAGTGACCGGTGGAGTGTTATAGTCAGTCAGTGGGGGACCGGCTCTGTTGATGAGCCCGACTGCCAACGGGAAGAAACTGTTGGTGTGGCTGGAGGTCTTAGTCCTGATGGACCTCAGCCTCCTGCCAGATGGAAGGGGCACAAACAGGTTTTGTCCGGGGTGAGAGGGGTCGGCTACCATCTTTTTAGCTACTTCAGAGACCTGGAAGCGAACAAGTCCTGCAGGGACACATCACATTACAGGTCATTTAGCTGACGCTTTTTCCAAAGCGACTTACAATAAATGCAATTTATCCATAAGGACACAAACTCAGAAGAACAAGAAATAACAGTGCAAGTGCAATTACATTAAATAAGCAGATTTGCTATAGATGAGTGGCGTTATAAGTCCAGTGTAAGTGCTACAGTTAGTGTGTTAGTGGAGGTAGAGTGTGAAGAGGTGTGTCTTTAGTCTGAAGATGTGAAGGCTCTCTGTGGTCCTGATGTCTTCAGAGACCTCCTTCCACCATTCAGGAGCAGGACAGCAAAGAGTGGAGATCTAGTCGAGTGTTTTGCTCTCAGTGAGGAGGAACAAGCAGTTTATCACATGCAGAGCGGAGAGTGCGGGTCGGGATGTCGGGTTGGACCAGGTCCTGGATGGAAGCTGGACCCCATCCATTCACAGCCTGGTACGTGAGCACCAGTGTTTAGAGAACTTAGGAAGGTTAAAGAGCAGTGGAGCTGCTGCATTCTGGATGAGCTGCAGAGGCTGAATGGTGGTAGCAGGAGACCTGCAGGAGAGAGTTACAGTAGTCCAGGTGGAGATGACAAGAGCCTGAATCAGTACCTGCGTGAGTGAGAAGAGGACGTGTTCTCCTGATGTTGTTAACACGGAGCTGCCATAGTTAACATGTATGTGGAGCACTTTGAGTGGCCTTGTTGTTGAAATGTGTTGTAGAAATAAAAGGGCCTTCTCTCGCCTTCCACGTGTCTTTCCCTACTTGCTTGGTCAGCGGTTGCATCCGCGTGTCATCGGCCTCCGGTTCTTCTCCTCTCGGCGGCGTCGCCCTACTACTTTTTCCTAAATCTGAACCAACAGAAACATCAGTAGGCGACTTGTCGCTCCGACACCAAAGTCCTTTACCACAAGAACGAGGACGCTGACAGGAACATGAACCACCATCTATAGCCACTGGGTGTCAATGTTATTCCAGGTGGTAAAGCGTGAGGCCGCTCTGCATAAGACAAACATTGTTAGCAGCTTTGACATTTAATACAAACTATTGTGTTGTTAATCTGCATTTCTATCAGGACTTTCATAAGAAACCCGATGTAACAGTTTGACCAACTTGTTTCCTCCGCAGTCGTTGTTTGTATTTAACGTAACGTTTTCACCACCATCAGATACAAATTTAAAGCAGAATATTTGGTTTCATGAGATGTGAATACAGACTAGAGGTACCTGACCTTGTCCCTTTTGTAAGCGAATACACAGAAAAAATGAACGCGTCGATTAGGTTACATGTTACCTTCGTCCGACGTTGAAACCACATCAGAACTTTGCTAACATTAGCTATTTGCAAAACGGCAGCTAACAAGTAACGTTTAATGAATAGTCCACCTTCTCCTCTAGCATCGAACACGGTGGTCGCAGGTCGCAGGTCCAAGGGGCGCCTGGAGGAGTCCACGACCTCCTTCCTTTCACCTCCAGAGAACGAGGCCTTTCCACCATCAATCCCATAACGTTCTTTTAAACCTTGAAATGTGTAAAACCATTTCCAAGCTTTGAGGGGTTGCCTCCGTAATTGTGAAATGGAGAAGTTTGGAACCACCAGGATGTTTCCTCAAGTTTGTTGATCCAGCCATGCTGGAAAATTGGACAAGAGGAGCCGTAGTCCCGACGGTGACCAAGAACCCAACCGTCGACGTGCGAGAGCCTCCGAAGGCCTCTGCAGATGAGATGGGAGAACGTGCCAAAGGAGCTTCTATAAAGTACTACATTAAGGGTACTTATGTAAATGAGTGATGCAAACTTGTTTGTGTGTTCGTTTGACATAAAGGAACTGCATCTGCCAATGAAGATGTGTTGTTAATGTTACAGGGACACCCGGTGGATCTGGAGCTCCTCTTATTGATTTACACTCAGGGGAATCATCTTTAAAGGGCCCCGTTCAAATGAAGCCGAAAAAGTGTCGGCTTTGTTACTTAAATTGTAACAAAAACACCTTATTCAAACTGTACAGAAACACAATAAACGCACACCGACATGCTGACTGTCCAACGCCAGTGTGCCTTCAACGCTCTATCAGACACGCCCACAGTATTCTGGCTCGTTGCTGATTGGCTCAGGCGGGTCTGTCTTCGCAACGTTTTCCTCCTCTCCTATTGGTTATTTTCAGATGTCCATCACCAGTGCGTCAGACTGGGGGGGGGAACAGAAGAAGATTGGTTTCACATGCAAACTGTCAAGAGCAAAAGGAAGCGAGCCAATGGCAGCGTTACGAGTTTTCATGCTACGCTGTGAGTGATTTTAACGTTACCCGCTGCTCACGAAAATATCACCGACACGTTTATCGCGTGATGCGCGCACAGGCGTTTGGGCATTTCGCCTCAAAACGCGGGACAAAATGGCAGTGGGAGACTTGTTTACGTTGCCGCGGTAGCGGTGAGCTAGCTGCATGCTAACGTTAGCTAGTGTGTGCTAAATGTGTCTTACGCCCCTAATGAAATGAACGACAGCTAACGTGTTGCTAGCCATGCTGAGGGAGTCCAGAGGCCTTTTTTAAAAACAACGTCATCACCATTTAGTGTTAAAATAGGGCGGTTGACGTTTAAAAAAAACGTTTGGTCCTTTTTTTTTTTTTTTTTTTTTTTTTTGCATCTCCAGCCTCCGTCCTCTTAAGTTCCAAGTCTCTCTGTGAAAAGAACGATGAAGCGGTAACAACCGTTAACGGAACGTTCGAAACGAGAGTTTTATGTTGCAGCTGTCGGGGTCCTCCGGTGATCAGTGATATCAAACAGAATTCCAAGCGGTGTAAATCAATGCAAATGGTTTTAATCCTGCAGGATTAAAGTGTCTCTTGTCTCCTCTGCAGGAGGTTTTGAATGAACACTACGCGATCTAAGACAATCCGTCAACAAGTTGGAATATGCGTCTATATACTTTTAAATGCTCGCTATTTGTTTTAACAAATGTGGCAAGTATTCCCATGTTTACTCGACTGTAAATGTTCACTCTTGGGATCGTCGGTCAAGCAAAACAAGGTCACTTGACTTGATCTAATCCAAACTAATTTGCAGATTCGTACAAAATGTCAGTTGCAACCACGCCGAGATGTAAGCGTGGTTTTAATTCATTTTATATGTAACTTCAAGGCGGTAGTTTCCATTCACAAAGCGCCTTTTCTCTTCCTGACACGGTGAGCTGTGAAAAACTGAATTCTTCCTCTAAAATCTGCGTCCGCGGCTGAAGAAAGAGAGAAGAAAGTATCTAGTGAGCGTGACTGTGCTTCATCACGTGGCCCGATTTGATACGAATTTGGGAAGAATCACCCAGTGAGGATAAAGTCAACCAGGCTACGGCGCCCATTATGAGATATAAATATATACCTTTAAAGAAAGCGATCCGGCCCGTCTGTGGAGTCATGAGGCTGAGGGCAGATATTTAGGAAAAGGGCACCTTTCTGAATATAATGTGTTACATTGGAGATAGTCGCTATTATTATTATTATTATCCTTATATTACCTATGAAGATGAAGGGAGAGGTACATTACATTGGCGTAATGGTGATCGGGTGTTTCCCCCCCACACACCAGCTGACTGTAGCAGGGGGTCACGGGGGGGGGGGTTAACTGCACCCGGGGGTCGTCTGCACATATAAAGAGGACATGACTTCAGCGTCCTCGGTACGCGGTCCCATCAGTGTGATATAAGAGATTAACCGCTGCGCTCAAGCTCTGACACACTCATCCACTTTGGCACAGGAAAAGTTTATTTTAGATCAACTCGGTGCCAATAACGGGGTCAGAATCCGCCAGGCGAAGGTGAAATATTTATCCTTTCTTATTGTCTTTGCCTTAAATGGATGTGACAAGCGACGACGTGTTGAGCTTCGAGCCGCAGCTGAAAGCGTTTTTTTAAACGAGTAACTGCTTCCTGCGGTGCGTCCTGACACTGATCAGCTGTACGCACAACGCGAGGTCAAAACGTCGCTAACGCCGAGTGTTTTGTCTCTCCTGAAGGAGCGTCCGTCCCGATGCACCGCAGGCCTGTCATCAGATAAGATGTGAATTACTCGAGCGGAGGATGAGTGACACCACCAACGGCGTCATCGCAGAGGACTGACCTCTCTCACACAGCCCGGTACCGCATCCTGCCCCCTCCGCCCCCCCCCCCCCCGCGCACGCCTTCGCCCCTCCCGGCTTTGCCCTGCGGCCCGGGCGGAGTGGACACGTCCCTCTGGCCTGGCGTGCCTCCGGCGGCGTGTTGGGAGTCCGATGGCGCGGTGGGACGCTGAGGGCCGCCGCGGGGGACTGTGATGTCAGAGCCCGACAGCCCGGGCGAGAGCCGGCGTGGCGCTCCCAGATTCTTCGTGGGCTACGAGGACGATGAGAGCGAGGCCCCGGACGAAAGCATGAGGACGGACATGGAGCTGTATGAGGACGACGAAGACACCGACTCGGTGAGACGTCGAGCCGTTTGCCTTAAAAATGTCCCCGCGCTGAGTCAGCGTTATGACCATCAGATGCAGTGCAGATCTTTAGAGAGCCGAGATGCAGAAATGACGCTGTTCACTTTTTCTAAAGCTCGTCCTTCACCTCATTGACGAGTTTTACTGATTTATTGTCACGTGACCGCTTGTCTGTGGCGACTCAAACGAGAGCTCAGAGTTTAGATCTTACCGGCTCTGTAAACATTTTATGTTAGAAAACATGCTCCTCCATCCTCCCCGGTGGGGTTCGTAAGGACTACGGTGGTGCTATCAAATCAAATTGACTTGCTGTCTTAGAAGAGCGGAGACAGAAATCTATATCAGTCACCCAGTGTGAGGTTTTGTGGACAAAGCTGCCGTTGTCTCTCTTGCTTCCTGAGACTCTTGACATGTTGTCTCACTCACTTTTTCTCTGCCCCCTCCACCCTCTACGTCCTTTCTTCAGCCCCCGGAGCAACAGATCGTGGTGGGGATCTGCTGCATGATGAAGAAGTCCAAGTCCAAGCCGATGACCCAGATCCTGGAGAGGCTGTGCAAGTTTGAGTTCATCACCGTGGTCATCTTCCCCGAGGACGCCATCCTCAACGAGCCCGTGGACAAATGGCCTCTGTGTGACTGCCTCATCTCCTTCCACTCCAAGGGTACCACACACACACACACACACACACACACACGCACACGCACACACATTGAGCTCTGTTTGTTGATCCATCTCCTCTGCATGTCCACCAGGGTTCCCTCTGGATAAGGCCGTGAGCTACGCCAAACTGAGGAGCCCTCTGCTCCTCAACGACCTGAACATGCAGTACTACATCCAGGACAGGTACTCCCCGCCGAGCGGCTACCGCGCCGGTTGGACCGCTGACGCGTGTGTTGTGCGTTGACGTGTTGTTTTGCGCGTCCGTTGAACAGGAGAGAGGTGTACCGCATCCTGCAGGAGGAAGGCATCGATCTGCCGCGCTACGCCGTGCTGAACCGCGACCCAGATAAACCAGACGGTCAGTCCGCCGGCACGTTAACGGCATTCACTGAGTGACATCACACGCTTTCTGTCCCGGCAGCATCCTGAGGCTGTCATCCGTTGGTCTTGTATCGGCTTGTGTAAACGTATTCCATCATGAGTGAGCCACACCTAAAAGGGAAAGTTTGGATCCCTTTGTACGAAGCAATCATCCGAATCCGGTGTGTTACCGGCTGAAGATGGCAGACGGGAGCCACGCTGCCAGTCTTTTGATGTTTTGGTGAATTTAGAAGCTCTTCCGAGTCGAAATGAGACGACTTAAACGTCCTCGCTGAAGCACTGTCCGCCTTCAGCTTCGTGGTGGCTTCACGTTAGCTTCAGGCCGACTGCACAAATGTTGTATTTGACGAGAGCATCGATAAAGGTTTCAGTTCCCTTCAGAAATGAAGAAATGTCTTTCGGACAGCAAGGTAAAAAGGGGAAATTATTCCATGTAAACGTTCCCGTTTTTGCATTCTAAAATAATCCACAGCAGAACATAAACCGATATAGAGTCTGTAGATCTACTGTAGTGAAACATGGTGGTCCTGCTTCAGCTGATCAGCTGTTCACGCCTCTGCCTCGTCTCTGTGTCTCAGCGTGTAACCTGGTGGAAGGAGAGGACCACGTGGAGGTCAACGGCGAGATATTCCAGAAACCTTTCGTGGAGAAGCCCGTCTGCGCCGAGGACCACAACGTCTACATCTACTACCCCACCTCGGCTGGTGGTGGCAGCCAGCGGCTCTTCAGAAAGGTCCGCGCTCCATCACTACTTGAGTAGCATAACAATAATACATTTTAGTTGTGACGCGTCAGCAGATCTCAGAGCGCGACAGAGATGGCAAAACAAAAATAAAGAGAAAAAGAGAGAAAAACTACTTCTTGATTCAAAAAGGTTTTACAGCAGTAGTAGAACTTTGTAGTACAAGAACAGTGTAGCGAGTGTCATTGCTCATATTTCAGCGCGGTTGGATGTATTGTAGTTTCAGGATTCCAGTGAAGGGTGAATTCCAGTAGTCCGGTCTTGAGGAGGAAGGTTGGAGATGGGTCCTGAGTCCAGGGTGGGCTTCTTGAGGAAGGGACGGATGACGGCGACCTCAACAACCGCTGTTCTAGTCCTTGACTTGTAAACGCTGCAGCTACAGACGGCCTTTAATCTGAAGTAGTGTTCGCGGCCATAACCCTCCGCACATACATTCTCTCTTCTTCTCATTTTGCTGCATCAGCCACGATGTGTTCAAGGACCGTCGGACAGATGAAAATCTGACGACGACGACGTCGTTTTACGGCGTCTGACTAATATAAACAATGTATTTCTGGTGGTCCTGCCGTGTCCTTCAACCTTAAAAGCTCACACTGTGGTACTACAGAGGCTCGCCATCATAAAGCTGATGGATGGGCTGTTTGATCTGTGCAGATCGGCAGCCGCAGCAGCGTGTACTCCCCGGAGAGCAGCGTGAGGAAGACGGGCTCGTACATCTACGAGGAGTTCATGCCGACGGACGGCACGGACGTGAAGGTAGGGATGAAGCAACGCTTTCATCTGGCCTAAAATAATGACATAAAGTCAAATGTAGTGATTTGAGACTTGACTTGACGTGTTTATTGTGCTTTTCCTGGGGAAAGTCTGCGATTGTGCGTCGCGACCACTTGCGCCGTATCAAGTAGTCCTTGGCGTCGCCGCTAAAAGGCTTTCGTGGAAACACTGAAGAGGGCTGTTTTCCTCAGGTATACACCGTGGGGCCCGACTACGCCCACGCTGAGGCTCGCAAGTCCCCCGCCCTGGACGGGAAGGTGGAGCGGGACAGCGAGGGGAAGGAGGTCCGCTACCCGGTCATGCTCTCGGCCATGGAGAAGCTGGTGGCCCGTAAGGTCTGCATGGCCTTCAAGGTGAGAAGGAAGCGCCGCCCCGCTCGTCTCCTCCCCCTTCGCCGCGATGTTGACTTTGTGTCCTCACTGCAGCAAACCGTGTGCGGCTTCGACCTCCTGCGAGCCAACGGGCACTCGTACGTGTGCGACGTCAACGGGTTCAGCTTCGTGAAGAACTCGATGAAGTACTACGACGACTGTGCCAAGATCCTCGGGTACCACCTTCCTTTCTTTTGTTTGGGGGGGGTCATTCCTCATCCGAGTTTCCTTCCTGAGATTCCTCGCTTTGGTTCATCCCGTGTCTCTTCATTGGCTCCTCAGGAACATCGTGATGCGCGAGCTCGCTCCTCAGTTTCAGATTCCCTGGTCCATCCCGACGGAGGCCGAGGACATCCCCATTGTCCCCACTACGTCAGGGACCATGTGAGTCACCACCGTTTACAGGTGCTCGGGGCGGTTCCAGGTGGGGTGGTGTGAGGTGCTCATCCATCAATCTGAGCACATCTCTGATAGAGACCTGTCAATCACAGTAAGCCCCGCCCTACAGCATCCGCTGCTATTGTCTGTTCGACTCTACATGGACCATCATTTACGAAATGAACATCGTGCTGTATCGAAGAAGACGGTTTCAAGTCTTCTCTTCGATACAGAGACCATAAACTCATGTTTACAACGTTTACCGAGGGAACAAATCAAGAGAGAAGTGGAGTCATTCTCGTATACTTCTACTTTCACTGTTAAAATCTAAGCAAGTTATAGATACCAATAGTTTGCTCCTATATTACTGGTATGAATGATCCGTCTCCTGCTTCAGGATGGAGCTGCGATGTGTCATCGCTGTCATCCGACACGGAGACCGAACGCCTAAACAGAAGATGAAGATGGAAGTTCGAAACCCCATGTAGGCCGTTTCTGATATTACTGACCTTTCTGTGTCGTTAAAAGATGTTTGACCTGAACTTTGATCAATCCAGGTTCTTTGATCTATTTGAAAAATACGGAGGATACAAAACTGGGAAATTAAAGCTGAAGAAGCCCAAACAACTGCAGGTAACAACGAGTCCGACAAAGACTGGTTTAAGTAGGTTTGAGCTTGTGATGACTGTGTGTGTGTGTGTGTGTGTGTGTGTGTGTGTGTGTGTGTGTGTGTGTGTGTGTGTGTGTGTGTGTGTGTGTGTGTGTGTGTGTGTTACATCTTTGACAGCTTGATACTCTGACCTCTCAACAGGAGGTGCTGGACATCACGCGACAGTTGTTAGCAGAACTGGGACAGCACACCGACTGTGAGATAGAAGAGAAGAAGTCCAAACTGGAGCAGCTGAAGACGGTTCTGGAGATGTGAGTGGAGTGAACTCTATCGCCCCACTTCGTATTCATTAACGCCATTTCCAGGCGATTTTGGCAGAATTGTTTTGAAGCCATGATGGACTGCAAAAAGGAAGTTCTATTTTAGATCCACTCTGGGGTTTTTTGGTAGTGAAACTGGTTTAGGTAGAAACTGGACCTCCTGGAGCTCCCGTGTAGCAGCAGAAGTTTATCTTTGGATTTGTCCAGTGCTTTGCCTGTAAAGCGCCTCTACGCACAAGAAGCGCTGAGCTGGTAAAGGCAGATTCTTCAAAACGGAGACTCAGTCCATGTTTTCCCTTCAGAGGAAATCAGGTCTCCAGTTACAATCAGAAAGAGCTATAAATAAGTTCTAAAAAGCAAACCGGGACAGAGCGCCGGTTCATGAAGTGAAGAAACAACAGCTGTTGATGAAGTTTGTACTGTGTCTTCATAAAACAATCTGAAGGCTTTTACCTGGGACGAGCTTCCCCTTTTGTTCCGCTGATGAATCAGTCACGATGTTAAAGGGCAGATTCATTATTCTCCTCACAGTTGTGGTCTTGCAACAATAAACAAATAAACAGTATTATTTTAATTTACTTAAATATAGACGGACGCGTTCCAAAAGTGAGCTTGAGTCCGAGCTAAAATATATCTATTAGTGGGACAGTGATTGTATTACTTTCTACTCTATTAAACACATCATACGCCTTCTAACCTTCATTACTAACGGTGAGAAGTCAAAGTAGAATCAATCAATTCATTTAGCTTTTTCTTGACGTTTTTTTTAGGTACGGCCATTTCTCTGGGATCAACAGAAAAGTGCAACTAACGTACCTGCCCCACGGGCAGCCCAAGACCTCCAGCGAGGAGGAAGGTGGGCCAATATCAAATCTCTTATTTTGAAATCTCTTACTCAAAAATGGTGTGTTCTGAAGCCGACGTCCGTGTCCTCTGTGTTTCAGACACGCGGAAGGAGGGTCCGTCTCTGCTGCTGGTGCTGAAGTGGGGGGGGGAGCTGACTCCTGCCGGCAGAGTCCAGGCGGAGGAGCTGGGGAGGGCCTTCCGCTGCATGTACCCCGGCGGTCAGGGTGAGACGCTCACAGCTCTACACTGAAGTATCGCATCACGCGACCCGGTTCGAGTGTAAGACTGATGAGTGAATGTATTGTTCCAGTGTTCCAATGTTGCCCCCGCCAAAGTTAGATCGAATATGACAAGTTTGGGGTTATTCCGCAGGAGAGACGTGCGTGCGCTTGCTGCTTCAAGCCGCGGTCGTGTCGCTTTCACCGAAGCGCGATGCTTTTATATCGCGGGTTAAAACCCCCCGGAGCGCAGGCATTGAAACACCGGCGGCCTCCTCGCCTGCTTTCACCCATCTTTGTTTCTGCCTCCGTCTGTCTTCAGGAGACTACGCTGGATTCCCGGGCTGTGGGTTGCTGCGGTTACACAGCACCTACAGACACGATCTGAAGATCTACGCGTCGGACGAGGGCCGGGTGCAGATGACGGCCGCGGCTTTCGCCAAGGTGACAGAGACGTTTCTCTGCCGTCGCTGAGCGTCTGCTTACGTGTTTTTATTCATGTGTGACAATTGATGGGGATCAGAGTGTGTTTAACACCTGCAGCTTCTCACATGACATTAGGAATAAACAATAGGAGCCGAATGCAAAGAATGTCAACATGAAAGTATGTTGATCTACAGCGTCGGGCTCCTCAGAAAACCGGCTCATGCATTATATGATGGTGTGCGTGTGCGTGCGTGCAGGGTCTGCTGGCTCTGGAGGGCGAGCTCACGCCCATCCTGGTGCAGATGGTGAAGAGCGCCAACATGAACGGGCTGCTGGACAACGACAGCGACTCGCTGAGCAGCTGCCAGCACCGCGTGAAGGCCCGCCTCCACGACATCCTGCAGAAGGACCGCGACTTCGCCGAGGACGACTTCGACAGGGTGACTCGCGATGGATGAACCGTCCCCGGCTTATTGGAGCTCGCCATAAATATACATGAAGGATTCGTAATAAGCATCACTGCTCAAACTAACACAACGTATCCTCACCTCTCTGCTTAAAGGGATAGTTGTGAAGTGTTTGTACGAGTTGTTCATGGTCTCTACAAAACCACAAGAAAAGAAGTAGTAATTTGACCTGTCATTCCGATTTAAAGGGTTATTTCAGATGGACTAAAGTCACACAATAGCACAAAGTGATTGGGCAGCGGCAGACCAGCAGCTCTCTTCTTTCTTGAAATGATTTGTGTGGCTTTGAAGGGAGCGGAGAGATTCAACGGCTTCAATTCCCCATCAGCAAGCAGCGGAAATATTCCCAATGCAGCGATTCTTTTTTGTGTCTAAAATGCGGTCACAGCAGAACATCGGTTTGCTCGTGGAATTGGCTTTTTAGTGAAACCTCTTTTTGTGTCTGCGCGGGACAGCTGGCTCCAACCGGCTCTGCCTCTCTGGTGAATTCGATGAAGATCGTGGAGAACCCGGTGGCCACGTGCGACGAGGTCTACGCCCTCATTCAGAGCCTCACCTCCCAGATCCGCAGAAGGATGGAGGACCCCAAGTCGGCCGGTGAGTGAGGAACCTTCTGCTGGCCTTTAAGGCTCTCAAAGCTTCCAGCTTTCCCTTTCGTTTTGGCCTCCAGCATTTTGATCGCACTGTCGACGTCTGATGACCCAGAACGTGTTCTTTCTCTTACTATCGATGAAACATGGCGCCTATCACATGTAGATGGACGCATCTTTGTGTGGATGTGCACGGCTTCCTGTGTTAAATGATTAGAAATCCAATGATGGTCCCCCAGACCTGCAGCTGTACCACAGCGAGACCCTGGAGCTGATGCTGCAGCGCTGGTCCAAGCTGGAGAGAGACTTTCGCATGAAGAACGGCCGCTACGACATCAGCAAAATACCGGACATCTACGACTGCGTGAAGTATGACGTCATCCACAACGCCACGCTGGGCCTGGAGGACACGCTGGAGCTCTTCAGACTGTCCCGAGCTCTGGCCGACATCGTCATCCCACAGGTGAGGCGGGCGGGCGTTTTTGTTTTTTTTACCACCGTGGCCGCCGTGCAACATTTGAAGCGTACTTTGTTTTTGTTTAAAGGAATATGGCATAAATAGAGTGGAGAAATTGGACATAGCATACGCCCACTGCCTCCCACTGGTCAGAAAGATCCAGCTGGACCTGCAGAGGACCCACGAGGACGAGTCCGTCAACAAGCTGCACCCGCTGTGAGTCCGCTGGAGAAGCTGCCCGCGGGTGGGTTGGAGGGAGGTGTTTGTCAGAGCAGCCAGTACAGCAGCGTCGTCTTCTTCCTCAGGTACTCTCGCGGAGTGATGTCCCCCGGGCGCCACGTCCGGACTCGCTTGTATTTCACCAGTGAGAGCCACGTCCACTCCCTGCTCAGCATATTCCGCTACGGAGGCCTGCTCGACGTAAGCGGCCGAACATCCACCCGACAGAAGCGTGGAGGCTTCCTCGGGTGGGCGTCTCAGCCGGAACTGTTTCTGTGTGTGTGGGACAGGACGAGAAGGACCAGCAGTGGAAGCGGGCCATGGATTACCTCAGCGCCGTCTCCGAGCTCAACTACATGACCCAGATCGTCATCATGCTGTACGAGGACAACAACAAGGTGTGCGTGACCGACCTCATGATGCCGTTATCATCAATGACCTTTATTTTAGAGAGCCTGAATGCACCATGTGAGTCCATTAGTGAGTAATAAGTGGATGGAAACATAAGCCCCCCGTACCCCGTCTCCCCTCTTTAAAGGACATCTCCTCCGAGGAGCGCTTCCACGTGGAGCTTCACTTCAGCCCCGGCGTGAAGGGCGTGGAGGAGGAGGAGAACGCGCCGACCGGCTTCGGCTTCCGGCCCGCTTCTGCAGAGGTAGAGCGGCAGGTAGAATCCCGTCCCAGTGATTTAACTGCGCCTTCGCCCCGCAGCATACGTATTCTCCCCCCCCCCCCCCCCTTCTCTCTGATCCTTTAGAACGGGCAGAAACAGACAGACCCCGGCAGCTTGGAGGACCTCTCTCAAGACGAGACGGACCGCGCCGTGCCGCTGTCCGAGCCGATTGCCATCCAGAGGAGGTCCCCGCTCATCCGCAACCACAAGACCGGATCCATGGAGGTGATGCTGCCGCTGCTGCTTCTTCTGGGATTTCTGCCTCTCCTCAATGTCCGAGGGCACATTTTATTCTGCAAACTAGCAGCTAGCTAGCAGAGACTTGTTACAGCTGTCTGAGGTGTGTGTGTGTGTGTGTGTGTTGTTTTCCCTCCAGGTTCTGTCAGAGACGTCGTCCTCTAAAGTCGGCAGCTACCGCCTCTTCTCGTTGTGCTCGCGTCAGTCCCCTGAGATGAAACAGAGTGGATTGGGTACGTGTCACCATGCATGCTACGTTAGCGTCAGCTGTGAAGGAATGCACAAGAGAAGGAAGCGTGTGACAGATGAAGCTAAAATCCTGAGCTGCTGAAACGTATCTGAGAGGCTGCGTACATTTTCATCTCATGGAAGAAAACTGGTGTCCAAATAAAAGGTCCTGACTTCTGATGAGTACCATTCATACCTGTTTTTTTAGCATCAGTGTTCCAGTTTTGCAACAGTTCTTCATAATTTAAAGGGCTGAAATCATCATCCTTCTGTAATAACTTTCCATTTTGTTGTGATTCCCACTCGTTTGTTCGTTTTCGCTTCAAGTAACTCGCTGTGAATTAATTTTTCCGGTCCATTCATGTCAACTAAATGCGACGTAAGTCTCCAAAAACACGCGGCGCTGCCTCCTCTTCCTGCCCGGTGCCCTCCGATCATCAGCCACTCCACGGGGGGGGGGGGGGTTGTTCCATTCTGAGCTGTCTTAAAAACATCAGATGCACGTCACCTTTGGCTGTCGGCCCCTCAGAATTGAATAACCAGCCGTGGCGACCCTCCGACCCTCCGACCCTCCTGTCGCCTTCTCCTCCATTTCCTCTTTTCCCTTCTGCTCTTTTGCGCTCCGTGGACATTCTTCACTGGGACGTCCCTCATTGTCCCAGTGACCACCAACATTCTTTTCATTTCAATATATTTTTATGTTTCTGACATAAAATAGCATATTAATGAAGTGCACATCTTTAAAGGCCAATTGACTTATTCCATATATTAATTAAAATGTAGGAAGAAATGAGCTTTCTCTGGTGACAAAAAATTATTTTTTTCTTGAATGGGAGTCAACGGACAATACAATTATGTTGTTCACGTCCATCTGTTGTATTGGAAGATTATTATTGGAAGATATTGAGGCCATTTTGATGTTTGGTCGTTAACCTCCAGATGTGGAGGTGACATTCGTTCATCTGACCCTGTGAGGAGGACAGATGTGTACAGAGGTTTTGGTTTCCTGTGTGTATCTCTCTCTCTCTCCCTTTCTTTTGAGTAACAGCATGATGTGTACGGTAGTAATGACTAACAACCCCCCCCCCCCCCCCCCCCCCCGCGGGGTCTCAAGGCGCCGGGGTCTTTAGAACCACGGGTCTTAGGGGGTGCTCTAGCGCCCCCCACACGGGAGGATACCCGCCCGCCCATCTGAAAAAATATTCCCCGCGGCAGTCTGTCCTACAAAGACGGTACGTGTTCCATACGGCGACCCCCCACCCCCCCCGCACTGACAAGCGGAAAGCTCCGCCCGTCCTAGCCGCCACGTAGCGTAGCTTCACAGCCCGGGGGGGTTCTTTGAGGAACTGGGCCGTACGTAGAAATATATACACATGTATAGATCTGTGTATATATTTGACTGAAGCAGTAGTGATTCTAGTAGCTAGTGTACGTGCAGAAAAGCAGCAGTAGAACTAATCTGCACTGGACGTGTGTGCATCATGTGCACATACATGTGTCTCATAGTGTTAGTTGACTCTCCTTAGGCTCCATATTCATTTTTGCCACCAAACCCACAGTATTTTCCCCCCATCTTCTGTTTTCATTTGTGACTCTCCACTTTGAGACGGATTGGTGTGTTTGTTTTGCTCATGTGCACGCGGCCTCCGGCCCACTTCCCCCGTAGCCGTCCGCGGGGAGGGCGAGTATAGCGCGCGCGGTCCCGTGTCGCGGCGGCGCTGTCAGGGGTGCGCTTGGTTCGTGGAGTCGAGTGTAGCGGAGTCAGGTGGTCTTTGGTGTCTTTGCCGGCTGCAGGTTAGAAGTGGCGAGTCGTCGCTGCAGTCCGAGGTTCTGTCTCTTTCGTTGTCCTTCTTTAAAAGCCACCGTGCGTTAAGCGGCTGCTCATTGGTGCGTTTAACTCCCTCCTCATCCTCAGAAATCACCCTCCGATGTGTTGTTTGCTTTCCTTGCATGTTCCATGGCTGCACTGACTTCCTGTTCCAGCTCCGTTGTTGTAGATGCCGTTTACAACCGGGTCTATTCCACTCATGGAGACGGTGTGACATCACTACATGAACATGCGCACTGATGTTTCAGATGAAATAACGGCTCATGTAAGCATTTAATCTCATATGCATCTTAGATATATAGATTATATATGTATAGATTTAGGGCTCATTCTGAATGGAGCATCTTCAGATAAAGATGTGCAGATGTTATGCTGCGGTTTTAGGAGCTCTTTGCACGCGTACACGACCCTCGACCTCCTTCCTGTTTCCCAGCAGCTCCTTGTGCTCAACACAAAGCAGCTGGACCACAGTTAGCAGAGTTTAAAGAAAGGTCAACACGCCTTTGAGCCCTACGAGGGATCACGTTTTGGGATGGACGCAAATATGGCGACGTGGAACATTGGCGAAAACGGGAAAAAACTGTTATTTATTTGTGTATTTCGTTTTACATTCCCATCCACACTCCATCTGCTCCGCGACCCGCGTGCGAATGTTGAGTGGCGCATCGCGGGCCGCCGCGGGTTCAGCCCCCGAGCGCGCTGGTGTCGCCCCGGAAGATGTCCCCGCGGTGTCGAGCGCGGACACGCAGCCCGCGTTGTATTCTATTGTTGAAGCGTCACGGCGACGTCTCAAGTAGTCTCGGGGGGTCGGCGGGGGGTCGGTGGGGGGGGGGGGGGCGCTTGTTTCCTTCCGGCGGTGCTCGACGTGACCTCCCATCACCTCCTCAGTTTGAACATCTCATCTCACTGTGTCACCGGAAAGATGTTCCATCCAACATCTTGGCAGCATCCACTGTTCGTCCGAAGGGGCCGGCTGGTCTAGAAGAGAATAGGGAAATGATTTAAGACATGATTGATTCAAGTAGCTGTGGCTCCCAGTAACACTAGTGATTTTTTTATTTTATTTTTTTATTTCCTCAGAGTTGTTGTCTATGCCGGCAGTAAAACGATTTTCTGTGTCGTTTGCAAAGTATCCGACTAATGGTACGTCTGCTTCTTTCAAGTATTTTTCCTCTTCACCTCCTTGTCTTGCATGTCTTCAAACCTGTTTCTTGACCTTGGGTTATTTTTTTATTTTTTTATTTTTTTCCACATGGCCCTCCAGCATTCCAGGTTTCCGTAATTTATTTTTCGAATTATTTTATTATTATTATAATTTTTTTTACCCATGATGCTTTTGGACTGTTTCTTTTCTAACACTACCTGACATTCTCTTTCTTACCAGGGTTCCCACCAGTCATTCGATTAGTGAAGTACTAAAGTTAGGAGACGGGAATGTCAGCAGATGGTTGCAAAGGCGTCATGGAAGTGTAGCAGAAACACTTTGGTGATTTTCCCCAGAGGTTCTCTTCTTAAGGCCGTTACACACCGTTATTCTGCATGTCAATATGTTTTTTATCAGCCAGTTTTATTTATCAGGAGGACTTTCACACAGAACGGGATTATTAACTTATTGCACAACAACAACAACAACAACACCCAGTCAGAACCATGGTGGAAAACTTACCTTTCACAATAAAAGCCCTAGTCAACCTCGAGTCAGGCGACAGTGTTGCATTTTTTCAGGTGGTTATTTAGTCACTGGTGCCACTTGACCCTCAAACAACATTTCACGTTCACTTTCCTGTTTTATTTAGTGTTTAGGTTCGGTTTAAATCTGAACCTGGAGGTCTGTCCGGGTCTGATTTCATTTAAGTTTGTCTCCCGCGTGCTGCGTGGTTTCCGTGGTGATCAGCTCGGCCGTTGTTTCTCTCCCTCGTTCACAATAGAGACTAGAAAGTGGAGACGTGCTCATCATCCTCCCGCGGAGCAGTAATCGGAACAAGATGGCCGACATGAAGATTCTTTGTGTCTTTTGCACCAAATATCTAGCAGAGCACCTTCTGCCAAGATACACAAAACCACTACACACAACTTTACCATTCAACCAGCGTGCTTCGTTGTTTTCTTCTTCTCTGTTTCAAGTCACACCGGATGCAAACTACTTTGAGTGAACCAGTTGAAGGAGACTTTCTGAAGGTCAAAGTGCATTTTGTTCATTCTTCTTGAATCGATGAGGTTTGTGGACGTGCAAGAGACAAAGGCGGTCGAGGACAGAAGCAGACTTTTAGGTCCTCAAACGTTGTAGCCGTCCAATGCTTCTCAGCCTCCCTCAAATGCAAATGTTCACAACATGCTGACGCCAACCGCTGCCAGATGTTTCCTGGAGCAGTGCTCCCGTGGGAAGGGGCCGCCTTTTGAAACGAGAAGAATATTATTTATATATATATATAATCAGAACAAGGTGCGAGCGGTTCTCTCTCCTTTAAACGGCAGCGTAACAAAGCACAGAGCCGTAACCATGGAGACGCGCCCTGAGCCAGAGGGTGGGAACCCTGTTTGACATCCTCCATCCGATCGATCTCCATCCTCCAGCAATTCAGTCCGTGTTCTTTGTTTTCCGATGTGTGTGCATGTCCTCGGTACCCCCACGGAACCCCTCCTCTGTCCCTCCATAGGGGACCAAAGAGCCTGCTGAGGGTACACAGAGGACGGGTCCCCGCTGCTCGTCTTTGGTTGTCCAGAATGTCCCACTTGAAAAAAGTGTATAGGTAGTAAAAGTACAGATAGATTCCTGATATTATGTTTCTCTCAATTAGAGGCTGTACCGAAAGACCTCCTCTAAAGTAACGTCATCACCGAAAGGACACTTTCGTCATCGTATAAAATGACCTATTAAATAAACTTTCTTTATTGGATTCATAAATATTCGTATTCTGTAGGTTGTTAGTGGGAGAATCAGTACGTCCTCATCCAGCAGGTACAGGGTCACTCAATCTCACCGGATCTCACTCAACCGTCATTCACATTAATATTAACATTAACATTATTATAGCACCGTGTTGATTGAAGAGCTTACAGTTAAAAGCTGACGCCTGCAGCTACCAGTGGCGTTTATAGCTTTAAGTACGTTAACAAATAGAAGCTGCACAGCTTTTACATTTTCATTTGAATTAATGTGAACGGAGTGGTGGATCATTCGGTGCAGCCCTGACTGATGGAAACGCTTCTCTGCAAAACACTTTTATTTGCATCGTATCGTCGCCGAGCTTCTCGATCTGCACTCGAGCCGCGGAGAAAGCCGCTGCTTTCAGTGGTTTCGTTGGGCGGGACTCGGCCTCCTTCTTGGCGCTCGGTTTTGTCGGTTTGGGTGAAGCGCTCGACCACAAGAGAGCGCATGGCGCCCCCCCCCCCCCCCCACCCCCCCCATTAGCGTGCTCTTCTCTCACACGTCTCATTCACCACAGGAACACAAGACGACGCCTCCACCATAGCAGTGGCCCCACCCGTCTGGTGCACTGCAAAAGGTACGAGGCGCCCCCCCCCCCCCACCCCCCCCCTCCTCGTTTTGTGTTGCCTCCAAATGTCCGGCTGCAGCTTTGAGTAAAAAATGGCGTCCGGGTGTCGGTCGGCGTGGCGGCGCGGTTGAGAGGCGAGCGTTTTCTGTGGTCCCTCCTCTTGCTCCTCTGGTGGATTCTCTCTGATGGGGTTGTCTTTAAAACAAAGAGGTGGAGGTGCTGCGGAGGAGCAACGTGCTTCTGTTTTTTTTGTCCCAAGCTGATTTTCTCCTTCTTTTCGTTTGCTGTGGCGGTAAAAGTTTTTTTTTTTTTTTTTGAAGCGTCTTTTGCTTCCTCGTGTGATCCGAGGCCACGTTGAGCTGTTGGCTGCCTCCTTCACGCACACGAGCTACACCCCCCCTCGCCCCCTCAAACACTTCCTTCCCCCTCTCCTCTGTCCTTCCCTCTGTCCCTCGCTTGTCCCCTATGGTTTCATGCCTTTTGTCCTGCTCCTCCTCCTCCTCCTCCTCCTCCTCCTCCTCCTCTCCTTCCTCAGAGCCCCCGGATGAGCGCCGTGTGGCCCAGTTGTTGAGGCCTTTCTCCACGGACCTCAGCCTGGGCCGCCACCTCTCTCTGGACGGGGCGCTGGCCCACCACCTCCACCAGTGCTCCTACCACCTCCGCCTCTTCCGAAACTGGCTCGTCTCCGGCCAAGACCCCCTAGAGTACCTCCACGGTTAGCCCCCCCCCCCCCCCCCCCCCACCCTTCCCCCCCTTCGGCTTCACGCCCTGTGGGAGCACGGCTCGCGGCTTGGTGGGACTGCGCCGCGCGCTTCGCCTCTTGATGTTCCTGCATGCTGCCTGTTTCTGTGCTCATGCACATTTCAAGCCGAGTGCTGTGAGCTGTTGGGGGTTTTGGAGGGAATCTTTGCAGCCGCTGTCTTCCCCTCTGAGAGAGGTCCGTATCTTCACCCACTGCGTCTGATCAATATCAAAGTACTTGGGCGAAGGTAAAGAAAAGGTGGGAAATAATCAGTTTCAGCTGAATCAAAGGTCAAATCCTTCTTTATGATGCTATTATACTCATAGTATATATTAATGTTCAGCCATATTTCTACCAAACCTTTAATTCCAGACTCACGGTAAATAGAAGTTGGATGGAAAAAAGTTTCCACACAAACTTTGAAACTTGCAAACATGGAATATGTTTCATGTTTAGATGACAAATCAGCCTCTGTTCAAGATTAAGGGTTTATTTATTTATTATTTGTACTCTAAGCAGATCTTCTGTCCTCGACCTCCGACTTCATCCACACATTGCACCCAGCTGCCCCTCCCCACATTAACCAGCACGTGGGCCCCCGCCCTCGCCCCCCGCCCCCCGCCCCTCGCCCCTCGCCCCCGCCCCTCTGAGGTTGGTGCTGTGGTGTTTTTTTGGTGGAGGCGAGCCGCGTGGTGTTTGCCTCCCTGTGTTGGTGACCCGGTTGTGAACTAACAGCGCCGCCAACATCGCGCGTCGGACCCGAGCTGCAGACTCTAACCGCCGAGCGCTGCCGTCAGAGCTTCACACACACACACACACACACACACACACACACACACACACGTGCACACGCGGCGGCGTGAGCCCTGCTTGCTTTGTGCAGATGCAGCGAGGCCTCCTGACGACCTGCAGACCTGTTGCCGTGTGATTTGGTGTTTTGGCGTCCAGCATGATTTTTTTGTAATTGTTTAATTTTTTATTTTTTTTGCAACTTGCCTGCGTGGAAATGAACCGTAGCGGCTGGCAGGAGCCTCTCGTGGGTTCGGCCCCCCCACCACCACCCCCACCCCCCCCCCCCCCCCCATCAGTACAGGGAGCAGGACTTTAGAGCGCTGAGGTGTCGCGTGTCTGCGTGTTCTGACTGCCCCGGTGTAACCGAGGCCTGATGTTGCCCGCGGGCGTCGTGTCCCCCCCCCCCCTACACCCCTCCCCCCCCCCCCCTCTCCCCCTCCCCCCTCCCGCAGGCTTCGAAGGCTGCTCCATGGTGCCCTCCATCTACCCTCTGGAGACGCTGCACAACTCGCTGTCGCTGAAGCAGGTCAACGAGTTCCTGACCGGCGTGTGCGAGAGCGCGGGCGACCCGCACGCCAGGACCACCAGAGGTGAGGGACCCGAGGACGCCGCCGCCGCCGCCGCCCGCCGCGTGAATCCCAACAGCGCGACCTCTGACCCCGCGGGTCCTTTCTACTTCCTCCCCGCAGCGCTGTCGGCCATGTTCGACACACACAACCAGCCGTCGGTGGACTCGTACACCCCCCAGAGGGTCCTCTCGTCCTCCATCGCGCTGCGATCTCGACCCGACAGACCACCTTGGTGTGAGTATCAGCTTCTCCGCTCACCAGGGTCTGACTCTGACATACGGATTACCTGTCTGTAGTGTTTTGAGTTATTTTACTCATTTATAATAAAACCAACTTTTGGTTTCGTCTAATATCTATTTTGTGTTCATGTTACAGACGTGTTTGATTCATGTGTAGAAACAAAGTTACATTATATTTCAACACATGATATTGCAACTGACCGTAACACTCATGTTCACGGAGCAGAGCCTGAACGCATCACGATTTTACATCGGAGCGCCGTTAATGGCGACGGCGTGTGTTTCTGTCCTGCAGACAGCAGCGGGCCGTCCAGCACGGTGTCGAGCGCCGGGCCGTCCTCCCCCACGGCCGACACCTCGCCGCGCTTCAGCTTCAGCGACAAGACCCCCCTCACCCCCCAGAGCAGCGAGGAGACTCACTCCTCTCAGAACGCCCCGCCGGCCCAGCCGCCGCCGCCGGCCCTCAACCCGCCGGCTACGGACCACCTCGCCGAGTTGCCCCCGACGGAGGACGGCCGCGGCGAGCTCGGCCCCGTTGACGGCGCGCAGGAGGGCCCCGGAGGCGGCGGCCTCGGACGCCGGCTCCAGGCCGCCGTGCGGCGCGCTGGCCGAGCTCTCCCTGGCCCGCATGGAGGGCTACTCCCTCCCCGGCTCACTGCCCGTGCTGCTGGAGCTCAGAGAGAGCAGCAGCGAGGCGGGTTCCAGCTCGCAGACGCCACAGTCCCCCGACGGGCCCGACGAGTTCTTCGACACCCAGGAGTCCATGGAGCTGTGGATGGACGGTCCGGAGGGCCTCCCTCGCCCGGAGACGCCGCCAGAGGCGACGGGCGGGGCGGAGCCGTAGCGGGGTTTGGTGGGGGGGGGGGGGGCGTAGTCTGTTGTTGCCCCGGTTACGTCATCCTCGTTATCAACGCCGTGCTGTGAGGAGGAGCCTGAGGACCCAGCGGGTCAGCTGACCGTCTCACTAAGCTCCGTGTTCCAGATTTCTAGAACAAGATCGTTGCCTTTCAAAGAAAGAATCGGTTCCAGGGAACCGCATGTTCTCGACTTTTTGTTTTAGGGCCACAAGGGGGCAGAAAGGCCCCCGAGACCCCCGCGTTACACATCCAGAACTACGAGCCAAAAGGGCAAACGGAGAGTTGTTGTTACATCTCATGTGTTTAATTGATCAGTGGACCTTTTTAATCTGTTAAATCTGTTGCATCTTTTTTCTCTCCAGACTCTTACTTTGGAAAGCTGCAGGAGAGACGAGCAACAAGAGTTTTCTTACTTTGTTACAGGATACGTGACTCTGACTCAGTGACACACATGATATATGAACATGTATCTGTGTGTGTTTTCTCTCCCTGGTTTGGTTCCCGTGTTTGTGATTTCAAAACAAAAGTCTTCATTGTTGCCGGTGAAACGTAACGATTGTTCAGTTCGCTGCTTCCTTCAGCCTCGGTTTAAGATTTATCCTTATCCATCAGTTGATGGAGAGAGAAACAAATATTTATTTTGAAATTACATCTTTAAAAATATAATCTAAAAGTCTGGTATTTTTTATACCCACATCAGATATTTAATTGCAATAAAACTATTGTGTATTTTTTGTAAAATCCCCTCACAATGTGGGAAAGCACCTCACACTAAATATGGCTTTTATTGTGGTAAGCGGTTATGTAGCCGTGTCTGTGGGGGGGAACACGCTTGAGAAGCTGTTTTATCCGTGTTACACTGCGACCTGCGTCTGTTCTCATGCGTTTTGTTGCGTAAAAGATCAATTTGCTCAAATTATTAAAGAAATTCATAAAACATTTGCTCACTTGCAAAGAGTTTGAGTTTCATTTGTTGGTTTTAAGCGACGACACAAACAGTTTTCTGTAAATTTACTTTTATAGACATCGCAATACGGAACTACTGACTGTGACAAAAAGCATCTATTGGAATGTACATTCTGCTTGTGGGTCTTTAGTGGTTTGTTTTGTCCTAAACAAATAAAATAATATTGAGTATATGAACAAGGAACAATTTCAAAAAACATTAAAGAAAGTAAAGCTTCATTGAACCATGGAAAACTTTAAAATAACTTTCCCAATTCTTCCTTCTGCATTGAAATTAAAAAATCAGGAATGATTCATTGAACATTTTGAGATGACTTTGACTTCTGATGGTTGTTCTTCCCTCCTTGTTCCCGCTGTACTCCGCCTGGGTCACGTGACCCGGGACATGATGTTACGGCAAATTGTCAAACAATCGTCCCTGTGGTGGAGATGTGCGGTTTAAGCCCTTGTGAGAAATCCAAAGTATGATTAAGTATTTATTACTAACTAGAATATAGAAAAAGAATACAGAAATGAAAAGGGGCCGACTGAAGATCTGACCAAGCTTTTTGGTGCAACAGAAGCTTTAATGCTCTTCAGAGAGGTTCGCGTTGTCCAATCAGAAGAGGTTTCAGTTGGAAGCCCGGATGTCGTAGGAAACACCGTGTCCCTCCGTCGATGTGACACCGGCGATCAGACAATCGGCTCCGGCTGTGGTAACAGACTTCAGCTTGCAGGTTTCCCAACAAGGTCACGCAGGTTTTCTGTGCAGATCAAAAACTGTCCCCACAAAATAAACCGTGATGACCTTTCGGCCCTCCCGACTTTTAGCAACATTTGTAGCTTTGCGTGAAATATCACAACATTCATGTTCCTCTGAGGATGAACTGTAATAAGTGACGCTCTGATTCTTCATGAAGTGACGTCATCGGCCGTCGGGCCGAATCCTGCGTTTAGACGAATTAGTCGCTTCACCTCCTGTCGTGTCTTTAACTCATTGAACTACCAGCACGTTTGGGCCAGGAAGGAAAAGAGTGTTTGATTTTTATTGATTCATTCATTACAAATGAGGAAAAGTTTCTAATAGATGTGATGGAGCAAATAGAGAAGAGGCAAAACGTTTGTTTTCAGTAGATGTTTATTGATCTTCACCACACTTGTTCCCTTTTCCACAATAAATCTTTTCTATTTGACTTTTTTTAAGCATTTAAAGAGCAATTAAGATAATATTGCGTTGAAAACGAGATGAAAGTCGGACCATGAAGCGGAAAGAAGGCTCGGCCACACGGCGCAGCTCCTTAAATATACGTCGTTTAATATGCACCTCTATGTTTTCATCTATCACGGCACAGGAACTCAAAGAAGCTACACATGCACGTACAAGCAGGGCTCACTGAAACCAAGTGATGCTCATTCCAGATTTCTTTTTTTTTCAGCTTTTAATTTTTTAAATATGTTATTTTTCTATTCGTCTTTTGTTTTGCACACTAAAATGCGGCGGTTTACGTGTGAGTGTGAATAATAGGAAAGTCCTCCGGGTAGAAACATGTTTGACGAGAGCGTCTGGCAGTCTGGCTTCTGAGTGCGCGGCCTTCGCGGCGCGTTATTAAACGGGAGGGCGGGGGGGGGGGGGGCGACGTCACCGAACGGTAACCAAGGCAACCAGGAGACGGGAAAAGTCCTCCGCGGAGAACGTAAAGGTAAATCTGCATCTTCACATTCAAGCCGACTGGAGCCCTCCTGTATCGTATGCACATGCAGTCCCTCGTGCATGCAGCCATGTGTCAATTTTGGATATATATATATATATATATATATATACCAAATATCTTTGCAGGAATATCTTCACTTGTTCCGTTATAAACTAGCGGCCGCGGCGAGGCGGGGTTGGTCCTGTGGTCTGATGGTTGTTTCGTTCCTGGTGGAAGTCTCAACTTTATATGTGTTAAGATACCAAAATGAAAAGCTTCGTAATGAAAGACGGCGACTGATTCAGAACTAGAACAATAAGTAAAGTGAAGCGAAGAACATGATACGAAAGAGACGGCGGGAAGGTTTTTGTTTGTTTTCACACACCGGTCGCTGTTTGTGCTTCTCCAGGGAAATCTAAAACCTTAAGCGCTGAAATACTTTAAAAGTTTTTACGGTCGATATATACAACTATTTCTTATTCTTCTTTGTCTTTTTTGTGCACTAACGAGAGGAGACCAGCAGGCCGAGAACCTTCCAGAACCACGAAGAAGAAGAAGTACTTCCCTCCCAGCAGGGCGGGGCTCTCCTCACTCCCTCCTCCAGCTGTTTTACTGGATTACATCCTCTCCTCCAGCTGTTCTATAGGACTACATCCCCTCCTCCAGCTGTTTTATAGGACTACATCCCCTCCTCCAGTTGTTTTACTGGACTACATCTCCTCCTCCAGCTGTTTTACTGGATTACATTCTCTCCTCCAGCTGTTCTATAGGACTACATCCCCTCCTCCAGCTGTTTTATAGGACTACATCCCCTCCTCCAGCTGTTTTACTGGACTACATCCCCTCCTCCAGCTGTTTTACTGGATTACATCCCCTCCTCCAGCTGTTTTATAGGACTACATCCCCTCCTCCAGCTGTTTTACTGGACTACATCCTCTCCTCCAGCTGTTTTACTGGACTACATCCCCTCCTCCAGCTGTTTTATAGGACTACATCCCCTCCTCCAGCTGTTTTACTGGACTACATCCTCTCCTCCAGCTGTTTTACTGGACTACATCCTCTCCTCCAGCTGTTTTATAGGACTACATCCTCTCCTCCAGCTGTTTTACTGCATACATCCTCTCCTCCAGCTGTTTTATTGGACTACATCCTCTCCTCCAGCTGTTTTACTGGACTACATCCTCTCCTCCAGCTGTTTTTCTGGATACATCCTCTCCTCCGTTTGTACAAACATCTCAGAGCGCCGCTTGCTGTGTAAAGCCGGATAAACCGGGGATTGATTTATTTTCTATTTGTTACTTGAGGCTTTCTGATCTCCTCCAGATGTGTCGACGTGAAAAAAATACACTGAAGAACTACTGAAACAATTACGGAGAGAAAGTTAATTGTCGAAATAACAGCCAGAGAAGAGAAGTTCTTACTGCAAATACAGATTTTCGATAAGTAACCGTAGAAATGTAACTCGCTACACGACAGCTGTCAGAATATAATCTTCCCTATTCTACTAATACACCGTGAAGCACATGTTTTCTATTTGACTATTTCAGCAGGAGGCACAAAGTTCAACACTGGGTCGATGTTCTGGAAGAAAGAGAGAAAATAGAGCGTTGAGTAAAGCGGCTCACGGATCGCCCGCAGCGAGGACCGATCGGAAAACTCATTTCATTTCGTTTGGGATTCAGCGGAAGAAGAACAACTCTGTGGCCGGATTTAAAGTGCTCAAGCTTGTGCTCTGATTTCAGCCGAGTTCTCATTTTTCTCGTTACTAGCAGGCATTTTGTCTCGTACCAATAAACAAAGACTCCAACGAAAAGAAAAACCGAGGAGAAGAATGCAGCGGTCAAAAAACTAGCTTATAAAGGAATACAAATCTAGAAAAGAATAGACGGGTCTCCGGGTCTGTTTCTGCGCGGAGCAGAGGCAGGTTAGCATATCGGGCTCCAGAGGGGAGCTGAAAACGGGGGGGGAGGGGAGGGGGGGGGGGGTGTGCGTGGGGGGGAGGGGGCGTTAAAACTCGATCTTGCAGGCGGGGAAGGACTTCTCCTGCATGACGACGGTGCTGCTGGAGGCCAGCACCATGACGTTCAGCTCCTGCTGCCTCTCGTGGGTCTGCTGGTACCAGTCGCGGGTCACCTCCGTGTCGTGGGTCGGGATCAGCGTCACCTGGGCAAACAAAAGACGGGGTAAGGGGCGGGACCCCTTTCTCAACTCAAACAAACCTAAACTAAAGAAACAAACCCCTGCGTCTGATCGCTCACCTGCAGGTTGGATCCCCACTGAGCTTTGCCATCCAGCAGAGCATCCAGGACGCCTCGGCCGGGCTCGCCGCTCGCCGCGTCGTTCCCGCTCGCCACGTAGTACGCCGAGCGGACGCGCTTGAAGAACTCTTGGTCCACGTTCTTGGCGCTGCAGTGGTTGGGGACGTAGGCGAGGTCCACGTAAATGGGGAGGCCGGCGGCCCCCGCGGAGCCGGACTTCTGGGAACCTGAGTGGGCGAACGGATCATTTCACATTACGTTTGCATCTTTTGCGCTCCGGACATCTTTGTTTTCAGCATCTAAAAAAGCAACATCGATGTGCAGGATCCAATAAAATGAAAAACTATGTGCAAATAATTCTTATTTTTGTGGAATTAAATGTGTCGCGTATAGTTTTCGTCATCATATTTTGAACGCATTCCCCTCACCTGAACTGCCCTTGACCCCGTTGAGCGGCGTCTTGCCGGGGTTGTAGCTCGACCTGGAGAGGTCGTCGTCTTTGGAGCCCTGACCGTCTGACAGGCGAGACATCCGAGAGCTCTTGTCGGCCTCCTTCTTCTTCAGTGAGGCGCTGCGCGGAGACGCCGTCTGTCTCACGGGCATGGGAGACCTCTTGCGCCTGGCCGGGGACGCCGCTTTCGTTTTCCCAGAAGTCTTCTTTAAGCCCTTGGCTTTCGGCTCCTTCTTGACCAGGCCGTTGCCCAGAGAGTCGGGGTCCACCATGCAAACGTCTGGGCGGGGGGGGGTTGGGCGGGGGTCCACGAGGGGAGCGGGAGGAGGGTCGTTGCTCCTGCTCGAGGGACGACGGCCGCCTCCGCCCGGGGCGGATATTTTGTCGATGGGCATGTAGTCGGCGTCCTCGTCCGAGTCCAAGTTTCCCTCGCCGGCGGCCGAGGGAAGCTCCTCGGCGCCCTGGGGGACATCGGAGTCCGACTGAGACGCTAAAGACTCGCTGACGGAGGTGGGCGGCGTGTCCTCGGTTGCCAGAACCAGCCCCGCCGGCGCGCCGCCCGCCCGCTGCAGAGAGCCGGCGTGCCGCTGGGGCTGCTTGTGAGGCCTCCTCTTCGCCGGCCGATCGCGCCCCTCGGCTTCTTGCGACTGATCGCTGCTGCGCTCGCGCTCGTCCTCGTCGCTGGATAAGTGCCGCATGCACGGGTTGATGAAAGACGGCGAGAGGTCCTGTTTGGGCTGCTTGCACTCGGAGGAGGAGTAACCAGGGGAGCTGCGGCTGGCGTACGAGGAGGCGGCCCCCAAGGGCACATCGCTGGCGAGGTCCTGATCGCTGTCCTCCTCCTCGTCCTCGTCGTCCTCGTCCCGCCCTCCTCGGCTGCACTCCTCGCTGTAGAACGGGGAGCGGAACGGCTGATCCGTCGCAGAGAGGGACAGCGGGCGGGCCGGGTGCTCTGGCTCCGTCTCGCGCTCTTCTTCGAACTCATCGTCGTGGCGGTGGCGGGGAGGCGAGTCTCCCGGCACCATCCCCATCTGAGACTTTGGCATCTGCCACTCGAAGGAGCTCCTGTAGGCAACCGCTCCCTCCCCGGACCCCGCCTTGGCCGCGCCCGAGGACGCACCGCCGGTCGCTGCCGCGTCGAGCGCCACCGGGGCCACCGGGGCGGCGCTCGTGCCGACCTCCGTGGGGCCGTTGACCGCGTCCGGCTCGAAAGGCGAGGGCACGTAGGAGCCGAGAACATCGGGGAGAGCGCCGGCTGGCCCCTCGCCGGCGGCTCGAGGGGCGGGTTTGTCGGAGAAGGGCGGGCTGGCCGGGCCGCCCGAGGGCGACCGGCGGGTCATCTCCCGCATGTACGCCTCCTCGTCCTCCTCCTCGCTGCTGTCCGTCTCCTCAAAGTAATGCTTGCCTTCCATCTCCGGCCGGGGGGAGGACGTGACACCAAACAGGGCGGCGCTGGCCGCCTCTCTGTCTTTGGAGATCTCAGAATGCTGAGCAAACGGTCCTGACGGGGCTCCAAAGCCAACAGCCGGGTCCAGCCGGGGTCCTGTGGACCATTCGGGCTTATAGAAGCAATCCTCCATAAGTCCACCTGGCTTTGCCGTAGGCTCATTTCTATCTTCGGCAAAGGCAGCGGACGAGAGCGAGGCAAAGGTTTTCCCCTCGTCAAATGGGCTCCGGGGTGAAAAACGAGCTACACTGGAGTCCAGCTGTTTCTCTGACACTTCCAGGTAGTCGTCTTTGGCGGCGGCGGCGGCGGCGGCGTCCGTGGCCCGTTCGTCCTTAAAGGAGGAGTACTCAAAGAGGGGCTCGGCGGGCGTCTCCAGCTCTTCTCCGAACTGGCGGCTGGTGGAGAGGGAGCCCGAGGTGGAGGAGGAGTAGCTGTAGGCCGAAGAGGAGGAGTACCCGGTGGCGGCGGCGGCGGCGGTCGCGTACTGAAAGCTTGTGTCCAGCGGCGTCTTACTCAGAGGCTCTGGTGTCTTCTGATGCTCGACATCGTCTTTTAGATTCGGGTACTGGTGACTCTCGCTTGATTCCAGAGGGAAATCCTCTTCACCTTTTTCTGTGGTCGTACTTGATAAAAAGGAGTCTTTCTCGCCGCTCCCGCTTGAGTGCCGAGAGAAACTCGCGGCTCCCGAATCGGTTTGCTTTCCGCTGAATGGCGAAGAGTCGACCGTCTCTCGTTCAGTCTTTGCGGGCGAGCTGGGGCTCCTCGGCGTCCCTTGGCTGTTGTATCCGTATCCGGCCATGGAAACCATGAACTCAGGCCTCCTCGATCCAAACGCTTCACCGATCGGACTTCTTACATCCTTCTCGGACGTCTCTTTGGCGCCTTTCTCCACGTCAGAATCGACCACGCCCCCGTCCTCGCTGTCCTCCTCGTCTTCATCTTCCTCCTCCGAGTCGTCCTCATCGACGACGTCGTCATCGTAGTCCTCCTCATCCCTCGCTGTCAGTTTTCGCATGTCCACCTCCAGGCACCCTCCTCTCTCCTCAAAGCCGGCGGCGGCGCCGTGGGGCGGTGAGTACGTCTGGGGTTTGGCGTCGTCAGTCTGGCTTCGAGAAGAATCGTCTCTACCCGGAGACAGAGAGGTGGACGAGGCCTCGGGTCTGTCGGCCACTGAAGGGAATCGGCTCACTGCGTCGCGTGCAAATGTCTCCTTGACCTCTTCGAACGGAGGAACGGCGGAATCGCCCTTTGGGTCGGGGGAGGCGGAGCCCTTAAATCCCTCCTCCTCGGACACGCGTCCCCGGGCCGTCGCCGGCGTCGGGGCCTCTGGTTGCTGCGAATCCGCTTCGTCTTTTGCGGCGCCTTTCTCCTCTTTGTCGGCGGGCTCCTGAGGACACGAGTCGGAGTCCTCTGAGCCGTAGATGTCGCTGTAGGAGAAGGTCTTGCCGTGGACGTAAGGCGTGTCCTGCCTGATGTACACCGCCTTTTCTTTGCTCTCCTTCGCTGGAAAATTGCAGAGGCTGAAATGGACACTTTTCTCGTGGTCCCGAGAAGCGTCGTCTGTTTCCTCCTCGCTTTCTTCTTCCAAATCTACTTTGTTTTCATCTGTTGATGAGGGCTTCCGAGACCCTCTTTCATCTTCATCTGAGGACATCATTTGAGGTTCCGGTTCCTCTGTGCTGAAAGACACGTTTGTCTCCTCAGTGGCGACGACTTCTGGTTCTGTCTTTGCAGATTTGGCCTCGGTGGCGAAGTCGTCGTCCAGGAAGCACCCCTCCTTTGCCTCCATAAGCTTGGCCTTGACAGTGGGCTGCAGATCCTTTTCGGTGTAGGAGTCCTCCTCCTCCTCCTCCTCCTCCTCCTCCTCCTCATTGTCTTCACTGGATTCTTCGGCTTCTTCGGCCGCTGTCTTCTCTCCAATAGAAGCAGTGCCGTCTGAGGCGTTGGCCGATTTAACACCTGCCGCTGCTTGGTCTTTGTCTTCGGTCTTGAGCGGTCTCTCTCCCGTCGGCGAGTGGCCGCTGCTGGTGGGCACGGACTGTGTGGGCGAGGCCACCTTCACGGTGCTGTCGTCTGGACTCAGACCGTCCGGCCTGTGGGACCCTGGATCTAACCCAGAGGAGAAAGACGCAGGGGGTGAAACGGGCTTCGCGCCAGCCTTGGATCCCTCGGCGCTGAAGAGAGGCTGGTCGTCCTTGGCGGCCCGTGTGGGGGAGCACTGCGCGGTGGAAAGGAGAGGAGGGGGAGGAGGAGAGGATGTGCTAGAGGGAGATCTCTGCGTCTCCCGGAGCGTCACGTGGGCCGCGTCTTCGTAGCCCTGTTGGAGTTTGCCGAGAGGGATGTCAACGTTGGGAGTCTGGTCCTCGTCCTCGTCGTCCTCCTCCTCTTCTTCTTCGCGGAGCGATGGAACCTTCGCGTCGGGCTCCATCTCAGGAACGCCGGGCTGGTACTCGTCGGGAGAGGGAGACTTGAAGCACTTGTCGTCCTCCAGAGAGGAGGTGGGGGAAATGGTCCCGGCCGAGTGGAGATAGTCCTTCCCCTGGGCGGCCTCCGGGCGCGAGGGGACGCTGTTGACTGTGTCCAGGACGAGCAGGCTCTTCCCCGCTTCCTCGGCCCGAGGCGCCGTCACAGAGGCCATCGACTGGTCCTCGGCGACGGACGTGGCAAAGGACGACAACTTGTCGTACTCGGTGATGGACGTGGCCGAGGAGACGTGCTCCTCCTCCGCGAGGGGAGCGGCGACCACGGCGGGGTAATGCGCAAGCTCCGGCTCGCGGCCCCCCACGAAGGCCTTGGCTTTGACGCCGGGGAGGCCGGAGGACCTCAGCTCTTTTATGCCGTGCATGGAGTCAAAAGTACCGGGCGCGTCAGGGACGGAGACGTCGTAGGAGCCCACGTCGTAGCGCAGCTGCGGGATTCGATCCTCTGGCTCCTCGTGGATCTCCTCGTCCGAGAAGGTCTGCTCGGTCTCGGAGTAGCCGGGGATGGTTTCGTCCTGGATGAAGGAGAACTGCTCCGAGGCGGACGTCGCTGCCAGCCCAGAGATGGCCGCGCTCGATGAAGGTTTTGGGTCAGCTGCTTTGGCGTCCGGCTCTTTCCCATTTTTTTCCCTTTTGGCCTCCTCTGTTTTACACTTCAGGACCTCGTCGTCTTCCGTTCCTTCAAGGTCAGCTTTTTCGATGACGTCGCCCTCCTCCTCTGAGCTGTCGCTCTTCTTGGAACTGTCTCTCATGTCGTCCTTTGACGGGTATTTGTCCGGTTTCTCCATTTGCTCCTCTTCGTACTTCTTGTCAAAGCCATCGCTTGCTCCCCTCTTTTCGGCGGCTCCCGCGAGAACCGAAGAGCCGTGGTCCTCTCTGTCGTCCATCTGCCCGACAGGGGATTTGGGCGAAGCGGATTTCGCATCAGTCGCTGGCGACGTGACTTTCTCCTCTGGGAAAACCAAAGACGGGCCTTTGGTATCTGCGCGCGGCGAGTGGCCGGACATCACGTCGTTCTGGATGGGCTCGCTCTTTCCTTTGGACAGTTCTTCTTGTTTCAGAGCCTCAAAGTCTTCAGTGAGGTCCTCCGGGGAGGACATGATGGACCGGTCGGCCAGAGCTGCCGCTGCGATCTCCACGGGGGGGACGTTCTTCGGGACCGGCTGTTTCTCTTGCGCTTCCTCTTTGGCGGCCTTGTTTTTGTCCGTCCTGGGCTTGGCCTGAGTCTTGGCCTTGTGCAGAGTCTTCCTCACTTCAGGAGTGAGCGGCTTCAGGTCGGGTTTAGTGATTTTCCTCAGCTCGGGTTTACTTGGGTCCCTCTTTCTATCCTCCTTGGCTTTGCTTTCCTTTTTCTCTTCTTTCCTTATATTTTCATCTTTCTTTACGTTACGTTTCTCCTTCTTGATTTCTTTTTTCTCTTTGTCTCTCTTTTCATCCATCTTGGACACTTTCTCATTCTTGGCGGTTTTCTCCTTGGGTATTTTCTTTTTCTCGGTCGGCCCCCCCACAGGGGCCACCTCGCTGTTTTTCTGTTGCTTGGTGGCTTTTAGACTCTTGAGTTTCTTCTCTTCCTTCTTCTCCACTTTATTCTCTTTGGTGATTTCGCTCTTGGACTCGTCCTCCTGTCCGCTGCCGTCCTTCTTCGCTGTTTTAGAATGTGGTTTCGGTGAAGACTTGAGACTCTCCCTGCTGTCGGTTCTTGATCTCATTTTGGTGTGTTTGATGATGGGGGGGGCTGCACCAGAGGACATGTCTTTTTGAGTGGCCACGGGGTACCGCAGGAAGTCAAGGTGCTTCAGCTTCTCGAGGCCTTCAAAGATCTTATTCTGCGGCGCGTTTCCAGGGAAGAGCACCCTGACTATCTTCTCTGTTGGACGGTGAGGAATCCAAACAATGAGAGCGGTAACCGACGTCAAATAAGGGACAGATATTTCTCCCTCTTTTCCATTGGCCATAGTAATCCCCGTCTTGGCCTTGCTGTTCCCGGACCATTTCTGCATCAAAAACTGCATCTCTTTGCTCTCCTTCACTGGGTTTAGGACGTACATGTCTAACTTTCCAACACCGAGTTTGTGGAATAGCGTAATGGGTTCAATCGTGTTGCTCACCGCCCTGTGAAGAGGCTCTGGTGTGATCCCCAGCTTGCTGAGGTACTGCAAGGTAAGAGATGCCTCCTCGATGCTGCGCTTCACCTTCAGCGTGGACTCTGGCGTTCGAAGCTTCTCTGGCACGTTGAAAAACACAATCCCGAGCTCCGGAGAGATCAAGTTCTTCAGCGCCTCGCCGCCGCTGCCGGAGCCGCTCCCCCGGTTCCGCTCCTCCTCCTGCTCCGCGATCTTCCTCTGGAACAACCCGTTGATGCCCGGCAGGTTGTCTGCGCCGATGTGCGTGAGCAGGACGGAGTCGATCCGGTCCAGGTGGCGGACCAGCTTCCAGAAGCAAGACTTCCGATCGGACCCTCCATCCACCAGGATGTTGAATCCGTTGACGGCGAACAGAGCGGAGTCCCCCCGGCCCCCGGGGAAGATGTAGCAGCAGGGTTTGGAAAGCTTCAGGAAGCCCCCAGAGGTCGGCGGCTCCAGGAGGTCGAAGGACGAGGGCACGTCGACCGTCTCGGAGACGTACTCGGCGAACTCGGTGACTCCGTCCATGTCGGGGAGGGTCGGTTCCGGGTTCAGGCGGTATTCCGGAAGGTTTTTAAATGACGGCTGGCCCAGGGAGCTCCAGCCTCCGTCTCCCTGACAGGAAACAGTGAGCCTGGATGGTTGTTCGGCCTTGGACAGGAGTTCAATCACCTGTGAACACGGCAGCCGTTAAGAGCAGAGCAAGCGATTGATCCACGTGAGCTCTCTATAGACGGGACCCGCGTGAAAGAAGCTCGCTGCGCTTACTTGAGGGTCTGAGATGATGTCTGAGAAGTGCTGCCAGGTGAAGGCTCCAGCTTCCAGCAGGACGTCGCCTCCCTGCTCAGAGCTCTGGCCGCTCAGTATGAGCAACTTGTTCCCGGCAGAGTCGGCGATCAGAGAGCGAACCTACGTAACACAAGTGCACAATGAGGCGACGGCGGACATCTGATGCAATATATCCAAATGGAAAATGGTGTTAGGTTTCAGTATTACATCCAGTTTCTTCTAACAGAGCCTCTCAAATGCTACAAGCTGGTCCTTTGGCCAGCAAAGAGAGGAGAAACCGACACTCAGGCTGACCGGCGCCGTCCGGCGGTGACTCACCTCGCGGGCGGCGGTCTCCTCTGACGGGTTCACCAACACCACAGCCTGGAGGACATCGCTGTGGTACTGGAGGGTCCGCTGGCCTGCGGGGAACAGTTGGTGAAGAGAGCGGTTACGCCTTCTGACGGGGGGGCTGATCTCATCACCGCAGCATCGAGACAACGAAACGAATGGCCGATCATCACGCCGGCGCTTTTCCTGTGAACGTCCATCGCTGCTCACAAGGCAAACTGCCTCCAACTGAGCTACGTTGTAAAGGGTTAAACTACTGCATCACGCTGTGAGAAAACGTGCATCCATAGCGACCTTGAAGGACAAAAACCCAGGAAGTTTGGTTGCACGTGTGGCAGTAAACAAGCGCCTTCCCCTGTCTGACCCCCCCCCTCCGCCCCCCTTCTCCATTGTGTCCGGCAAATACGCTCTTTTCATGCACAATCACCAAAAGACCATGATCCTCTTCGGCAGTTGCCACAAAGACGCTTCTTTCTTGCACATACACTAAACCAGTTTGAGTCTCTGTCGAAGTTTAAACGTCTTTGTGTCTGAGTGAGAGAGGGAATGATGGAAGGTGGGAGGGAGGGAGGTAAGGAGGGAGGGAGGGAGGGAGGGAGGGAGGTAAGGAGGGAGGGAGGGAGGGAGGGAGGTAAGGAGGGAGGGGACGCTCGTGCTGCATCAGAGTATCCGTGCACGTATCGCGGCGTGCACGAGGTGGAGGCGAGTAGCGGCAGCATCTATATTTATCACGACAGATGTTTCTGTCCCCTTCCTTCCTTCATTCCTTCCTTCCTTCCTTCCTTCCTTCCTTCCTTCTTCCTCAGCCAGAAGACGGTTTGAATGTCAAATCAAATACTTCAGTAAATAAAAAATGTTGAAGCCCTTATTAATAATAACTTTATAGGCGAAACGGAGCTGTCACGCCAGCTGATCAGTGAGAGACGCGAAGCCTCGAGCGATTATCGGGAATTCGGTGCGTCGGCAGCGAGTTAATGAGCGAGGTTCGATCATTCCAGGTTGATTTAAAAGTAAACAGACATGTTTTATAGATCGATTTTATCGATCAAAGACCTCAAATCAAACTTTTCAAGATGAAAGTTTTACCAATAAGTTTTATTCGTAGACCCCCGTTCAAAGAAATCAAGTGAATTCAAAGCAATTGTTATAAGAAATAAGAATTGTTGAGGATGAAAATATGAAAAATATGGAGAGAAGATGAAGACTTAAATGGCAGCACTGATCCTGGTTTAACGACAATGGTAATATAAGTGTAAAATAAAATTAGTAATGTGTACTATAAATATATATATTTTTAAAATACATTTTTAACAACCCGGCTGTCCTGTTGCTGAATACCGTTAAAAGCGTTTTGGCAATAGAGTTCATTTGCAAAGAAAGGGATCCATTTTTGATCCAAAATGTTTGCGAGAACTACCCGGTTTCTTTTTGTCTCAGATTTAATGTCTCAGGTTTAATGTATTTTTAAATTCATGCAAAGACACAATTCTCAGGGTTTGTCTTGTTTTACGACGTTCGATGGTTCGATGGAGAGAAAAGCTCCCCTCTACTCTGGAGACCCTAAGAGAGACGTATGAAGAATGGGTGGGCGAATAACCAGAGCCCACGCATCCACTGGTGCATGATGGGAAGTGGTCTCTGGCCTCCTGTGACTGTCTAATTGCTTCTGAGTGGCATCGTGATGAGTGATGCCTTTATCTCCATGACGGTTGTCAGTGGCGTATTAATCTAAACCGCGATCAATCGCTGTTTGGTACATTTAGTCAAACAGACCAAAAAGCGGGGGCTGCTTCAGGGCGGGGCTTACCGTGATTGACAGGTCGCTACCAGAGATATACGCAGGATCCCTACGTCACTAAATTGCGCGACCAGGTCCGCTTCTACAGTTTATGATTAAAACACCAAAGTCTGTAAGATTGGATCACTTAATCGCGGATTTGAAACGTAGATCAACGGGTTCCCGGTTCATCGATTAACCGCAGGAGTCATAAAGCGTCCACAGCGCACGGCTGCAGGAAATGAAACATTAAACGTGAAGCAGCCGGTGTGCGTTTCCTCGGAGGGACGTGACCCGCAGGAGATTCTTGCCTGGAGCCTTCGGGGAGCCGTAAAGGGAACAACGAGGTCCGTGCGGCCGCGTTTCATGCACTGAAAAACTACTCGAAGGTCCCCGACTTCAGCACGCGAGTCTCGTTGCGCGCCGAGGACCTCGTTGGGTTGTGCACGTTCCAACGCATCAATGGCTGCAGGTTGTTTCAGGTTGAACCGTCACAACCGGAGGAAAGAACGTTGATTACAGCTGAACATCTGCCAATTTTTTTGTGTGTACCAATATTGTGCAGCTACAAAGACACAAGCGTTCATCTTTTTTTTGTACATATTCCTGAATATATTTTGGTTACATTTGCGACTCAGTCCACTAGATGGTGCTTAGTTTCTTCATGTAGACTGTAAAATAGTTTTTTGGGTACACAACCAGGTTAAGATCAGGAAAAAGATAATTGTTGGTCTTAAAATATCTCCGTGCAGGTTTAATTAGTTAGTTAATACAACTACAAAAGGTGGAGGAAAACCAGTATCATAAAACCAACGCTTTCTGCACATCGGCCTCGCCCCGATGAGATGAGATGAGGAAACGCCTTCCTCAGTTATCACAGCGACACTGAATTCACATGAGGGCTGAAGGTGTTTGCTTCTGCTGCTTTACAGAGACGCATCAGTGCGAACAGATGTGCAGTTTCCTCTTTTAATTGACGGGCAGTAAGTCAGCCGAGCAGCTGGTCACTGTCGTCTGTATCAAACATTAGCAAGAGGAAATGTTGCATTATGTTGGGGACTATTTCCTGCGGCGGATTCATCCGTATTTGGTGCTGGAGGGAGTGTTGGTGGCGAGGAACTGTTGACCAGCGTAACGGCGGTAAATCCATCGCTGCTGCAGAACCCAGAAATAAACTATTTGGCTGTGATGTCATTGCAATAAACAAATTAAAAGAAAGAAATAACTTCATGATTTGCTCAGAGTCCAGATTCATGTTTCTTTTGGAGAAAATATGTTTAAAAAATGCTTGTTTTCTTAGTCGAGCTTGAGTCTATTGGTGCTAGGCTACGCTAACATTGCTGCATCTCCTCCAAAATAAGAGTAGGAGTGAATAAGGCAGTTTATATGCACACTTAGTTGCTTTCTTTAAGCACGGGAAAGAAACTATTGTGTAACACAGAAGCCTTTAAACTTTGCCGGTTCATTCTTCTCTCTGAAGCTTCAAAGCGGTGGAGTAAATGCACCACCAGTCGGGGGAAACACACCAGCACAAAAGAGCATCCTCGCTGCTCCACCCTGACCTGATCCCGCCGAGCTCAGCACTCTGCCTCAGCCGCCCTGAGGCATTCTGGGAGTTCACAGAGCACACCGGGGGGTGTGTGTGTGTGTGTGTCTGAAGGAGGACCCTTCACGGAGGTGATTACAGCCTGTCCGTCAAAGACACGCAGCTCAAGGACATCTGGATGACAGCTTCCTGTAGTGGAGGCGGGTTCATCCCGTTTAGTTTTAGTCGATGTTTTAATGTCCCGACTCCCCCTGACGGCTGCTTTTATAAACAAGTACTCATCATTTTATCAGGTTAAATGACCAATGATGACAACTAATCGCTGCTTTTCTGTGAAAACTACATTCATTTTGGGCTTTGGACTCCTGCTCGGACGAGGCCGGTCGTCTTGTTAGTGTCTAATTAAATGAATCTATAAAATAATAAAAGAATCAATAATGTAAAGTTGTTATTGATTATTAAAAGAAGCCAAAGTTTTCAGCTCCCCAGAAGCCTTCGTTTGGCTTTGTGACTCCTTCAGTTATTTGATCCTTTCCTTTCCTATGAAGACGTTTTATTGTGAAAAGACTTTCCTGTAATGGATATCGACACGCGTTGCTCGACTTTTGACAGCAAATTGTTGAGTATTTTCCAACTCCACAGCAAGTTGTGTCTGTTATGTTTGTGGCCCCTGTACTCATCGCTAATTATAGTAACTAACAGTCAACCTCAGGACACGGATGAAGGTATTAAGTCCATGATAATGAGGCTCCGCCCTCCAGTGGGGTTTTATTCACCCAACAATCGATCGAATGAAATCTAATTAAATAAAACTCACACTTAAACACTAAATCGCTTTGACCGACGGACGAGTGACGAGTCGACTGGTGGCCGGAGGGTCTCTCCGTGACCCCCCGCCTTTAGCCCGTCGCCTTCAGCTCACGACGATGCGTCGCCCTTTGTGTGTTTGTTTGTTTTTCTCTCACACCTTGACAATCAGGTCACCTGAGGTCACTGGGCGGATGGGGGGGGGGGGCGGCTGTGACCTGTGGGTCAAAGCGAGAGTCTGCGGCCGCCTCCGTCGTCCTTTAAGCAGCTTAGAGCGACACAGCTGGAGCCGCTGGGGGGGTCCAGGGGACCGTTGTTCAACGTTACACGCATAATGTTTAAATGTTAGACGTTTTAACTCCTGAATTCCACAATAAAACGCGCATATTGACTCATTCTGCTATAAGGTTCTGAATGAAAATGAGAAAATACTCACTATTCAATTCACACACGTGGTATTTTAAATCAGACTGCTCCAGAATTAAATGAATGATTAGAAAACACAATGTATTGTGATCTACATTGGTGTATGAAATATTTACATGAGTGGTAACTAATTAATTAATTAAGTAATTCGTGTTTTACTGCTTTTTAGGCCCCAAACAGTTATATACAGAATGAAGCTTGGGTTTCATAGAATTATACATACATACATATATATATATATATATATATATATATATATATATATATATATATATATATATATATATATATATATATATATATATATATATATATATATATATATATATATATATATATATATATATATATATATATACGTGTCTATATTTAGCAGGTTGGGGAGCGAATGAGGACGTGAGCTGCATCCTGTCTCTTACAGAGCAGCAGAGACACACGATGACACATGAAGGCATCACACCAGATGACTGAAATGCTCCTCATTGCACAGCAGCAATGTCAACAAGCACATATGC